AAAATATACTCCATATTAATTCATTTCTTAACAAATCATGTTGCATTTCACTCAGATATGGAATCAAATTTATGGATGACTATCAAGCAATCATGACCAAGAAACTTGGTCTGCCGAAGTATAATAAGCAGTTGATAAGTGATCTTCTAAACAACATGTCTGTTGACAAAGTTGATTACACAAATTTCTTTCGGTTGCTGTCAAATATTAAAGCAGACCCTGCAATTCCTGAACAGCAGTTATTGATTCCCTTGAAGGCTGTTCTGTTGGATATAGGTAAAGAGCGCAAAGTGGCATGGACAAGTTGGGTACAGGCATACATACAAGAGGTAGGTCCATTCATATGATAAATTGACATAGTATTTTTTATATTGACCATGTTGGCCAAGGAAAAAACCTATGTTTTGTTGAACAACTTACGCACCTCTAGAGGGGGGGGGGGGTGAATAGAGGTGTTCTTCAAAAAACAAAACTTTTGGAAGATTAAACAAGAATTCGCAGGATTATATCAACCACAAGACGACAAGGAGGAAGAGAAGGAGCAACACACGATGTATACTGGTTCGGCCTAATGCCTACGTCCAGTCCCCGAAGCAAACGTGCCCGAGATTCCACTAACTTCGTCAACCTTAACGGAGTTTGACAATCCGATTACAACTCGAGAACTTGAATTCACAAGCCTCTAACCTTTTCACCGAAGTCTTGATTTCACAAGACTCAAGATTTCTCTCCAAAACTTGAATTATAACAACTTCAAGTTTTTACAATTCACACACCGTTACAAAACAAAGTGCACAGCGGAAATACTCTTCAAATTAAGAGTGGATTGCGGTAGAATACAAGTTCTTATAGAGTATGGCACACTAGTACTCTCCAAAACTCAAGCAGATAGAGATTTCTTAAAGAATCGCTTGGAAGTATTGTTGAAGGATTAAAAGTATGAATTGAAAATGCTTGGATTTTTAAAAGAATATGTTTGAATGAGTATATATAATGTTCTTCAAGCAAAAGAGCCGTTGTATGTAAGTTATGGAAGATAATGATGGATAACTTCCTTAAAAGCTGACAAATCTGCAGTTCAAACTGACGTCTTATTCGAATAAACTCAGACTTATCCGAATAGATCAGAGTAAAAAACGCAGACTTATTCGACTAAGTGAAGACTTATTCGGCTAAGTCACTGTAGGATTGAAGAAATGAGCTTCAGGACTTATTCGAATAATTTGCTAACTATTCGAATAGGGCAGAGTTAAGAACTCTGACTTATTCGAATAAAACAAGGGTTATTCAAATAGTTCACTGTGAATCCAAAAAGAAAGTCCACAACTATCCGAATAATTTCAGAATTGTTCGAATAGTTCTCACAGTTTTGAAAATGTTATTTTGCAATTGACTCAAAAACAGTTTGAAGGGTTTTTGGAAAACATTTTCAAGGAGGGAAAACAACTAACGTGCCATACACTAACAAAAATGCTAAGACCAAAACGAAAACCAAAAACACTATATCTTCACACTTGTCTTGAGATCCAATGCATGATTGTGAAGATCAACACCCAAAGTGCCAAGCCCATGAGATAATTGTCATTATCAAAACACAAGGGTCAACATGTTTGGGCTGGTAGCGTTAACTGCTAGAATTGAAATGAATTACAAGTTTATGAATGAAATCCATTGAAGATCAGCGATGCTGCATCTTTTTTTTCCAGCAAGCTCATTTAAAACAGGGTGGCCAAGCCGGCCAATACTCAAAATTTAAGTTTTTGAAAAAATGCTTTGTCTTGGTTGTCTCTTATGGCTAGTTTTGTGTTGCTATTTGAATATGCCGAAAAAATGATACTTCCTCTATCACAAATAGTTCTTTTTTTACTACGTATATTGTAATAAAAACAATAGCACTAAAAAAAAGTTTTTTTTTTCAAAAAACTTTTTTAAGGATCTGTTTGCTTACAGAATATATTCCTTTTCTCATTTTCATGTGTTTGCCACCGGAAAATATTTGAAGATAATCTCCTTAATCATCAAGAATTTTTCGGATAGTGACATTTGGTTTCTATTTTTGTGGGTTAAACATTATACTCTATTATACAAGATTTATGTATGTATTGTTCTCCAGGGAATGTGTCATGTTATAGTTCTTATTCTTATGGTGTTTTTGATATCTACTTTGACAGCTCTCCAGCAGCGGAATTTCAGATGAGGAGAGGAAGAGCTCTATGGATTCTGTAAATCCCAAGTATATCCTTCGAAACTATTTGTGCCAAAGTGCCATAGACACGGCTGAGCAGGGCGATTTTACAGAGGTTCGCCAGCTCCTAAAGGTTATGGAGAATCCATATGACGAGCAACCGGGAATGGAGAAATATGCACGCTTGCCCCCAGCCTGGGCTTATCGTCCTGGGGTCTGCATGCTTTCATGTTCTTCATGAGTTACTCGCCTCCATTTCCAATTGAAGTTTTTTTGGTACCAATAGCAAATCTATATTCTTTTTATTTGACAGTAGCAAATCAATATTCTGTTATCGGGGGAACTTGTGTAGAAGTATAAAAGGCTCGAATTAACTCTAATTTTTGGAGCAATGACATCAAAATACCGTTCTTATCGTTGGTCCTAATGGGCATAATCTGCCCCAATATACGGAGTATAATCTGAAAAGTTCTATTGAGAGTATTATTTTTGAATTTAAAATTGGTGGCTCCTATCTCCTCTAGCCCCATCCCCTTCATTGTCGATTTGACATTGTCAATTTAAAACTGGTGACTCCTATCTCCTCTAGTCCCATCCCCTTCATCAATTTTATTTATGAAGCATCGTGTTATTTGTATAATTTTAATGTCAATATTATCAATACCAAAAATCTTACCTGATTTATTATTATAATTATACATTTATTATGATAATTATAATCATACAAGGACTTGAGAAGTTTATTGATTAAGTTTGTTCTTTTATTCCTATTGAAATCAGATTAGACCAGATTCAGTCCAATCTGAAATAACTTTGAAAACATGTTACATTCCTCTTATCAGATTACATCTGATTTGGTTTTATTAATGTTCTGGTTGATCTAAGTCAAGTTATATTTAAAATTAATTTTAATCTTATAAAAATAAGTAATACTCTCTCCGTCCGGAAAAAAAGTTCCCAGTTTGACTTTTCCTCATTTTTATGGGGAGCTGACTTTGTAAGTAATTTGTCCAAAATGCCCTGCCCTTCACAGGCCATCTTCGCCATTGACGTCCGCCAGCCCCTCGAAATGTTGCCAACACCCCACTGCTGCCCCTTTCTCCTTTCATCTTTTTCCCAGCCCATCGCCGCCCCTTTCTCCTATCATCTTTTCCCCAGGCCCGCCGCTACCGTCAGCCTCCCCATCACCGTCAGTCCACGGCCATCGCCAGATCTGATCTGGTCGCCGTTAATTGGAAGTATCAAGGGAGAAAAAGAGAAGATGATGAAGAAGAAGAGGCTAGGGAATCGAAGAAAGAGAAAGAAGCGCAGATCTGAAAAAACCCCATCGCCGGCAACCCCCGCCACCATCGCCACCGCCGACACCATCACCGGCAATCCCTGCACAAATGGATCTCCAGATTTTTTAGATCTGAAAAAATAGACGAGATCCTCGAAGAAGAAAATGACAAAAAGAAGGAAAAGAAAGGGGGAGGAGAGAGAGGGGGGGAGATGAAGGCTAGATTTAGAGAGAAAAGAAAGGAGAGAAGAAGAAGAAGGAAGAGGAGGAGGAAGACAACCAGGAGAAGAAAAGGAAGGGGGAGAGGAAGAGAGAGAGAGAAAGAGTGGAAAGAGAGAGAGTACTTGCTGGCCGAGAGAAAGGAAAAGGAATAGAAGGAAGGGGTATTTTAGGAAGATTGGGTATGAAAACGTATAATGAGAACTTCTTTTTTGAACGGAGAAAAGCGTAGAATGGGAACTTCTTTTCCGGACGGAGGGAGTAAATAATAAGAAAATGTTAAAAAATACGTGTTCTAAATTTAACTTCAATTATACAAGATCAGATAAGATCTAATCAAATTAGACAAGAGAACATGCTCTACTTTTGGTCCTTTTTCTATTCGTATTACATGTACAACATGCCTTAACAATGGTTTATACTTGCTAAAAAACAATCAATCTATATTGTACATCTGGGTGTACCTATTTTCAGGTACATCCGACGGATACTCATTTTGGACTAAAAAATGGCTATTTTGCAAGTAGGAGTAAAACATTGAAAATATACTAGAATAAGAATTTTATGTTTTTATTCCCGAAACAAGAGTTAAAATGCATATATAATGCCAATCATGACTATATACATTACCAAAAAGTATTATGAAATATCCATATATATATATATATACACACACACACACATATACATATACATACATACATACATACATACATACATACATACATACATACATACATACATACATACATACATACATACATACATACATACATACATACATACATACATACATATATATATATATATATATATATATATATATATATATATATATAGGGCGGTTAAGGTGAGAATGCACCTTGGTGAAAGAAATAAAAATAAAATTTAGCCTTTGGATCTGATGCATCGTGCGGCTCAGATTGCATCCTGCATTCAGATTTTGAGATAGTGCGTTTTCAAAGGATTTTGGTGCATTTCGACATGACGCATTTTCAAAGTATTTTGGTGCACTTAATTTTGATGCAATGACCTTTTAGATCTCACAATCTAAAATATCAGATTCATTCTTATTTCTTTTAATAAGATTGCATTCCTACCAGAACCAATATATATATATATATATATATATATATATATATATATATATATATATATATATACACACACACACACACACACTCACACACATACTAGCAAGGATCGCACTGTGTGCGATGAGTGCCCAAGTTGATGAGGACATCTTCTCAGGTTGGTATTGGCCGTGTAATTGGGGTGACTTCAACTGTAATAGCTAGGTGGTTGAATCTGGCAGCTATAAACCCCTTCTCTTGATTCAATTTCTTTTGATATTTTATTCTTTTTTGAATCATGTTGGGTTGACAACTAAGGGAATGGAAAGTTTAGACAAATTATGAGCGCATGCATTAGAGCAAAACGTTGTAGCTACTATTTACGGAAGTTTTTAGTTTGGACATGCTAGTATATTTAACCAATATAATGCACACCTCATTATTTAAAGAATAAGATAAAATGACTATTACGTGTAATAAATTTTTAAAATTGATAAATTGATAGAGATAAAAAAAGATCTATTTTCCTCATCAATTTTGCTACCCTGGGGAATGAATTATATAATTAATAAGTTAACAAAAACAAACTAATTGGGTTCTTTACCAAGATTAGCACAGGTGGATTTAGGAATTTGAAGTTGTGTATTGAGTTCAATAAAGGGGAATTTCAACTTATTAAGAGCTGAGAGGTGTAGATGAGTATATTACAATTTTACTGTGATTAAACATGCAAAATAAAGTGGTAATAAGTTTGTATATTACCTTTCCATGCTTGCAATGTGTCTGCAACAGATATATAATTTCTCACGTCTAGACACAATTAAAAGTGGAAATCAATACACATAATCATACACTCTGTACTTAATTCCATAATAACAACTTATCGAAAACTAAAAAACAAGTGACCTTCAAAAAAAACAAGTAACCACCATAGAAAGCAGAGTTTATACATGTCATTGATGCATGAAATACATTAAAAATCAATAATGCTTCAAAGGGAGCGTTGTGGATGAAAATGGATGCATGTCTGAATCTGATTTTAAATTGTATCTCTATTAAGAATTTAAGATCACCATAATTATGTTCATACCGATTAATAATCTAAGGGCTTTTTTTATAGAATCAATCAATTTACTTACTAACAAAAGCATGCCAACAGATTATTTGATTAGACATTTAATAATTTGAAGGAACACATATTAAAAAAGAGATCAAATTTTTAGAGCATCATCTAATAAAAATATCTACAATGTGATGAGTCACACACAAAATGAAGTAAAACAACTTTCATTTTATAAACATCCCCTAAAGAAACAAATTTTTTACAATATTTATAAATAACTTTACAAAAAGTTAAAAGAGTGGAAAGTGAAAGCTTCACATTCTTGTGAAAAGCATTGAAAAACCTTATGGTAAGGGGGAACTAAAGAATATATTTTCTGTGCATTCTTTTCAAGGGTTAGATAATGTTTTGGATTTTTTCACTAACAATATAATGCAAGCTAAGTTTAATCATATGGTAAAATCTCTCGAACAAAAAATAACATAAACAATGTTTCTTTTTCCGTAAAGAAAATTATATACTTCGTATTCATAGAGTGAAGCACCTCAAAGTGGTATAAATAAAGGCCCCTCATCTTGCTCAAGCTGCTAATAATTTGAGGGTACCAAACCAATACATATTAATCTAGGGACAAAAGATATACCGATAAAGAAATCAAACTTTCGATACAACTTTCAAAAGACTAAAAAGAGGTTTAATACTCTGCTTAATCCTATTTGTAAAATAAAACACGTATGTACCTTGCTACATAATCAGAGAGAGAAAAACTTCAAAGTGGGATAAATAAACCAACACCAAGTCACTAAATGTAGTAACCAAATTTCATGTAAAATGATTAGGAATTGAAGTTTTTATCTAAAAACTCTTCAAATAAAAAAGAGTGCAACAATTTCAAAACACCAGATTTTAACAAAATATCTACAACAAAAAAAAAACAAACTCTGTGCAAATGAAGTTGAAGTTTGAATTGAACTCTATTTCAAATGAAACTCCAAAATCAAGAATAAAAAACAATATGAAAACGCTAACCATTAAAAACTCTATAATTTGAAGTGTAATTAAAGATATAGAAATACACAACTAAAGACACAATCAAACAACAACAAATCTTGAAGGGTCCGTTTGGTATACAGAATTGATGTAATTGGAATTGAATTGGAACTGAAATTCCATGGGATTCAATTCCATAGAATTGAATTCACCAATTCCAATTCATTTTTTGCACTATCAATTCCAAATCCACACAATTTTTGTGCTACCAAATACCAGAATTGGAATTGAAGTCTTCAATTCCAATTCCATAGTTTGAATTCCGTGTACCAAACGGGGCCGAAAGGAATTGCAGTAGCATAGAATTCAAAACTAACCGGGCAGGGATCAAAGAAATATGAAACCAGCATGCAACAAATTCTAGTATTAAAAAAATGAGGGGTAAAAGGTATAGTTACAATTAGTTAGGCGACGAAGAACATAAATGAAACCGAGAGAGGGCTAGAGAGAGGGATGGTATGTACAGGGTGGGTGGAAACGAGTGGGATAAAAGATTGAGATGGTGGGAGCTACATTGCATAAATGGAAGGTTGACGGAAAAAGAACGAAATTGACTGTGAATAACAAGATAGCCCCTTATTTAATAAGGGTAGATATATATATATAGTATACATTACGATAGTGCAAACTTCTATTTTAGGGATAAAAACCTGAAGTTCCTATTTTGATATGTTCTATATGTTTTGCTCTTATTTAGGGTGCTTTTCTTATTTTATTTAAGTTATACTTTTGTCAATTGTTCATTTTTGCACGTATGCAAATGCATGTATTACAACTTGAAAATAAACAAATATTAGTTACAGTTATATAAAATTTTCATTTGCAAATAACATAATGTTATTTAGGGAAGACTACCACCACCTCCATAGTCCATCTTGTAGCAGACCACCACCACAGTCGTCCTATGCGTCAAAGGTCGTTGCCGACACCACTATCCTCGTGCCCTGCTTCAAACGTTGGCGGCATTTCTTCCCCCACCTTCAAACATGAATGACGGTGGTAGTAGTACCTACCACACCCCAACCCCACCTCGATCACAACAGGGCCAAAATCCTAAGGTTCTCTGTGGAATTTATATGGAGGTGGTGATCGAAGAGCATAGCGGCGAAGGGACGAAACCCTAGGTGCGGATCCGACGCAGCCATCTCCTCTCTTCAATATGTGGATGCAACAAGCAAGGTGAAGTGTTGAAGCAGGTGAAGGTGGTGGTGGAGATGACAACGGCTCCACTGTAGCGGTGACGACGATGGCGGTAACCAGCAGCTCTGATTCTCCATGAATAATTTGGTGGTATGAATAGTAAGTTACTTCAAAATGAACACTTCGTTATTTGATAGTCAACACTACACTATTTTAGAATAGGGGTGGACACGGTACGGTTCCGGTTCCGGAACCGCCGGTTCCGGTACCGTTTCCGGTACCGTTTCGGCCACCCCTAATTTTGTTTTTTTTTTGCTTTTTTATTATATTTTTAAAATGTAAAATTGTAAATGTGTAATTGTTAAAGGAAATGATGAAATAAAAAAATCTAAAAATGAAATTGATAAAGGAAAGAATGAAATAAAAAATAAAAAAAAACGGTAACGGTACCGGAACCGGAACCGCCGGTGCCGGTACCGAAAAATGGGCACCGGAACCGGTACCGGATTGGGCGGTACCGGTACCGGTTCCCGGAACCGGTGGACCGTACCGGCCGACGGTAACGGTACCGGAACCGGCGGTACCGTTTCCGGTACCGGTACTGTACCAGTACCGTGTCCACCCCTATTTTAGAATGAGCACAACGTTATTCGTAAATGAATATTATAATTGTAATGAACAAATGTGTGAAAAGGAACACTACGCTGTTTAAAATGATCGCTACGTTGATTTAAAATGAACAACACGTTATTTCAAAATGAACACTCTTTTACTCCAAAATGAACATTTGTGCTTTGTGCGAAAATGAGTATTACTTACTCCAAAATGAGTACTACCCGACTGTACCATGTACAACCGGCTGTACAATATAACACTCGGTTCCCCGCCGCCCACACTTCTCTTTCCTCACCTAAGGTTCTACCACACTCCACACATAGGGTTTTGATTGTGCATTGACTCCTCTTTTTCTCGATTAATTATCGATAAGTTTTGTTCTCCTTGCGCTTTTTTCCATTTTAGGTTCTACCCAAAGATGTGTACAACCAGTTATACAATATAATTTACGATCGTTTGTTAATCTTTATCCATTACCCGAGTACATATATTGTACAACTAGTTGTACCTAGACCTGACAGAGTAGAACAAGAATTGATTATTCGAACTAAATGATCCAAAATCTAAATGATTCAAAAAGTGAAGATTCGATCTTTAACCAAACAATTGAAATGATCCAAATCAAAACCAAACTAAATATATCCATATCCTATTTAAATCCGAAACCGATTAGATCCAAATAGTTAAAATCCAAAACTAATAATATCCAAAATCGACAATACCTAAAATTGATAAGTCCAAAATGGATAAGACTTAAAACTGATAAGATCTGAAACCAATTATATGCAAAAGTTATTCTACTTGACAAAAAACATATTATATTTATGAACATTAGTAATTATTACGTATTTAAATTCATGTAATTTTAATTTAATATTTGGCAACAACAAGTGTTGAACCGTCTTTCTCGGGAATGAAGTTCGTGAAGAACGAGTTGCGGAATAAAATTTGTGATCAATGGTTGAATGACTGCTTAGTAACTTATGTAGAGAGAGATGTATTTTCCACCATTAGTGATGATGTAATTATAGTTCACTTCCAAAATATGAAAACTAGACGAGAAAATTGTAAACGGTATTATTTTTGTATGACTTTATTTCTATGTTTTAATTATGGTACTTTTCAAATGTTAGTTTTAGTTTATGAGTAAATTTCATAAAAGGTCCCTAGTTATAGGTCATTTTACATATTTAGTTCCTACCTATCAAATATTACTAATTTAGTCCTTAATTATTATATTCATTTTCACAAATGGTCCTTTGTTAACATTTCCATTAAGAACATGGATAAAATTGTAAATTTACACTCCTTTCTCTCCTCAATTAAGCTTCCTCCCTTCCCTCGCACTCCTTTCCGAAACCCGTCGCTGAGTGTGTAGCTTTGAACCCAAAACCGAAATTATCACTCTTCTCTCTATTGTTTGTCTAACTGGTGGAACCCAAATTCGAAACCAGTAACCTTCATGAGTGAGTTTTAATATTTATTTCCTTTGAAATTTCTTGAGATTAACTGATAAAACTCATCCATAAAGCTTATTGGTTTTGATTTTAGGTTCAACCAGAAAGACTAATAATTGAGAGAGGAATGATCATTTCAGTTTTGGGTTTAGAGCTTCAAACTCAGCGACGAGTTTAAGAAAGAGTGCGAGAGGAGGTATGAAGCTTAATTGAGAAGAGATAGAAGTATGAATATACAATTTTATCCATGTTCTTAACAAAAATGTTAACAAAGGACCATTCGTGAAAAATGATATAATAATTGAGGACTAAATTAATAATATTTGATATATAGGAACTAAATATGTAAAACGACCTATAACTGGGGACCTTTTATAAAATTTACTCTTTAGTTTATCGTTAAATGTTAAGACTTATGAAGTAGTTTGAGATAAAAATGAGAGAAGACCCCAACCACCACCGCATGGTGAGGGCATGGTGGATGGTTGTAAAATCCTGGATCCGCCTCTACTTAGTCGCAGCCAACCCCAACCACCACCGCCCTTTGCTCCAACCATCCACCATGCCCCCTTCCCCATCACCACTGCTATCCCCGCCTTCGCCCCAGCCCCCCGCCACCGTCGGCTTCTTTTCACCGCCAACTTCACCACTAACCTTTACTCTAACCATCTCGCCTGCCCCCACCACCACCGCTATTTCCACCTTTGCTCGAGCCCCACCGCCACTATCCGCTCCATAGCCACCACCAGATATCCCAAGGAGACAGAGAAGACATAAGAGGAAAAAAGGGGAGAAAGAGAAGAAGAAAAAATAGAAAAGATGAAGATGAAGAAGAAGAGGGCATATATCTGACTGGGAAGAAGAAGAAGAAAAAGAGGAGGGGGAAGAGAGAGAGAGAGAGTACGTGTGTTGAAGATGGCCCGGGCAGATCTGGTCGAGATATGAATAAAAAAGGGTGAAGGGACTTGAGAAAGAAGAAAGTAATTTTGGGGATCCTATATTTAGGATATTTTATGTGTTAAAAAGGTGTTTCCTTCGGTGCCCCTTTCAAATAGAGTGTTTTGAAACCCTCTCTATTTGGCCCAATTATAAATGGACATGTGGCTGTTTATGCCACCTCATTTTAATGAGCTTACAGTTATGTATATTTCCTATTTAGTCCCAGGGATGTCATTGCAAAAAAAACTTATCTCTAACCCTTCTTCCCTCTACCTACGCTGTCTCCACCATCTCCACCATCCTCCACTCTCTCTCCCTCAACGCCCGTTACTCTCTCCCTCAATCTCCCGCATATCTTCGCCGGTTCTCAAGTAGTATATACTCTTGTACTCTGTCGGCAATTTTTCTTTGGACAAATCAGGTGTATCACCTTTCTGCCCTGAAGCTCCACTTGCAAGTCTGCAATTTTTCTTTGGACAGCAGTAAGCTCCTTCAACACCCTTACCAATTCATCGCTCTTTTCACCAGAGCCACTGGAAAAACATTAGATCTCCTCCTAAACCACAAAAATGAAACTCAGAAACAGAAATCGTTATTAACCAATTAAGCTGATAATTCATTATTTGATCCATTTGCTGAAATTCATTGGGTCTCCTCCTAGATCGCATGAAACGAAACTCGGAATCAGAATTCATTTGCTGCTTAAATACATTGATGTTCCATTTGATGATGACTTAACAGTGAAATCGAGGGAATGAATGTGAAGGAGAGAGTAACGGGCGTTGAGGGAGGGGAGAAACGGCGGGGGAGAAACGGAGAAGCCCAGATCGGCGGCAATCGAGGGAATGAATGAAATCGAGGTTACTTGTGACGGAGGGGGAGAAACGGCGAAGCCCAGATCGGCGGCAATAGAAAGGGCATCCGACATCCCGCCCAGGCGTCTCACTGGTTTTCGTCCCACCAAGATATGCCGGAGATTGAGAGAGAGAGTAACGGGCGTTGAGGGAGAGAGAGTGGAGGATGATGGAGATGGTGGAAACGGCGTAGGTAGAGGGAAGAAGGGTTAGAGATAAGTTTTTTTTGCAATGACATCCCTGGGACTAAATAGGAAATATACATAACTGTAAGCTCATTAAAATGAGGTGGCATAAACAGCCACATGTCCATTTATAATTGGGCCAAATAGAGAGGGTTTCAAAACACTCTATTTGAAAGGGCACTGAAGGAAACGCCTAGAAAATTAATTCTATAAGGAGAAAAAGAAGAAATGGAAAGATTAAATCTAAATGAAGTATTTTTATTATTACTAATTAATTATATAGTACTAATTTATGTATTAAATAATTAATATGGTAATGCAAAATCACCATTTTCCCCTCTAAAATATGTTAACAAATACAATAGGAGAATCATTTTTAATTTTTATGAGAGATGATTTTCGAGAGATCTATAAGAATAATATATTTAATTCAAATAAGGAGAACTTATTTGAAATAATTCCACCTTTTTGCACTTTACCAAAAATAATCTCATTTTCACTGTCACTGAAAATAATTTCACTTTTCTGCACGTGTGAAGTTTTAGCTCGTTGTTAGGAAGCTAACGGCCACTTAACTGATAAGAAAAGTGTCATTTTCACAACTTTTGAATTGTAATTTTGGAAAACATATGCACTGAATTATGATGAAAAAATTTACAAGTTTTGTAGTGTCATTTTGAAAAAAATGATACGAGTTATAGTTGGTTATCGATAAACATTTGGAAGTATTGCTCATGAAAAAATTTACAATACAAAAATGAAGGTAGTTTAAATCAAAAGAGAATTTACCTAAATTAATCCTAGATTTCATTTATTTGTGAAAAACAGATAATTTTAAAAGATCCGTTAAGTGACTATTAGCTTTCTAATGACGAATCTAAAACTCGCACATATGCGGAAAGGTATGATTTTTCTCATGACACTAAAAAGTGAGATTATTTTTGTTAGAGCACATAAATGAGTTTATTTTAGATAATTTTTCATTAAAATAAGTATAATTTTTTTATATACTTGTTTAATTAAAATAATCGAATTACGGAGTAATGATTTAAAGTTAGAAAAATACAGGTGCGTAACAGGGGCGGATGCACATTGATGTTGTTGGAGGCGTATGCCCCCTACTAATTTTTTGTAATAAGGTAAAAAACATTTTTTTTTGGAAATTTTATGTATTTATGCCCCCCAAAAAAATTAATGTGACCCCATCTAATTAGGTTAAATTTAATTTTTGTTCAATTTTTAGTAATGTGTATTTTATTGCACATAATTAATTATTTATACAATAAAATGTTACATAACCTATTAGTAAATATTTACATTCAATAAATGTTTGAAAAAAAAAATTAATTTTTTTAATTTCATTAGTCTATTTAAAAAAAATCTAGGGGCGCTGCCCCCCTGACCAATACCGCCCCCATCTATCTAGATATATGGATGCGCCGCTGGTGAGTAATACGAGGTATGAGATTGAGTTCCAATAAAAAGAAAATATTCCTTTCATCCCAAAATGTACGCCACAGTGACTATTGCGGCTTGTCGATAACTTTTGTTTGTTTGTGTACTTTCATTGATCATTTGATAAAATAAAATATTATTGTCACCTTTTGTTTTGTAGAACTTTTGACATATTTTTAAACGATTTAATTTATATTTTTTATTTCTATACTAAAATCTCATAAATATGATGAGATTTTGCACGTTGTTTGGGGTGTGATCTCCATTATGCGACGGATTGGCGGAGGGAGTATAAAACTATGAGTTGATTAACAATACATTATACATAGGGGATAATATCATGGATGTCCCTAGTGATTTACAAAAGGGCACCAAAATCTCGTTTATTTTTGAAAGTTACTTGCAAAATCTTTATGGTTTCTATTTTGAATATGCACACCCCTAATCTATTTTCAAAATTAAAATGATATTCATGCTCTATTCGTTGCCTCTTTCATAAAGTTTCACTCTCTAATTTTCAATTTTTCTTATTTATACAAATAAATAAAATAACATATATGTTCTCCATCTCAAATTAAAATTTTTCATTCAATTAATTTTCAAACAAAAAAATGGAGAATGATAGAAAATAAAATGAAAAATAGAAAGTTAAAATAGAGCACTTTGGACGAAGTAAAAGAATAAACAATGGAAAAGAAAAAAAAACTATCTCTTGCTATTACTCCATATTTTATTTCATGTTTCCATTATTAATTTTTTTTAAGTTCCAAAAGAAATATTTTAAATTTGAAAAATAAATAAGTTAAAATTATTAATTTGAGTTGAAGTGAGTATATGTTTATTTTTTATTTTATTTATTTCACTTTTACTTGTGATAGAAAAGGTAATTTCTTTTCTTTCTTTTTCATTACCTCTTTATATTCTTTTTTTCTTTTACTCTGTGCAGAGCATTTTATTTCATTTTTCTATTTTTTATTTTCTTTTGTAATATTCTCTAAAATATTCTTTTTTTCAAAAAGTAAATAAATTAAAAAATTTTAATTTGAGATGGAGTCGTATTTTTTAATTTTAAGTCTTTGTATAAACAAGAAAAAGTAAAAATAAAAGAGGAAAACTTCATGATAGAGATGATAGAGTTGAAAGAAAGGGGATAAATGTCAATTTATTTCCGATAATGGGCTAGAGGCGTGTGTGCATTAATTAGAAATTGTAGGGGTTTCACAAATAATTTTTAAAGAAAGACTAAGGGGTGTATTCAATCAGGATTTTTTTGTATTTCAAAAGTTTGTAGATATTCAATTCAGATTTGAAATAGTCATTTAAAATCTGAGTGTATTCAAAAGTTGATAGGTTTTTAAAGATTTAAAGGTAGACTTTGAATTTTCATGCCTATAAATCCATACTCCAATCCGACCAACATCCCTAAGATTTTGCAGACTTCTCCTCTTTTTGGACTAATCCACATTTCACTCGCTCAGAAGCGCGAGGTCTGATCTGGAATCGGAGTGCTGCGAGAATGGCGGCGAAGATGATGAGGAAGGAGGCAGCTGTGGTGCAGGGGAACGTGACGGAAGCAAAGCCGGAGGAAGCCGCTGCGGCGGCGGCGGTGGCGGCGAAGTCGAATGAAGTGGTGTTCGCGAAATGCGAGTGCTGTGGAATGACGGAGGAGTGCACGGAGTCGTACGTGGCAAAGGTCCGGGAGAAGAACCAGGGGCGGTGGATTTGCGGGCTGTGCGCGGAGGCGGTGAAGGACGCGATGGTGAGGTCGGAGCGGCGTATCGGCAACGAAGACGCTTTGAACCGTCACATGTCATTCTAATATCTAATCTCTTTTATTCAATTCTTGGTCAGATCATCCATTATCGATGTCCTCCTTCAATTTAAGTAAATCAATTAAAAAGTAGGTCAAACTTTGTACGGAGTCTATGAATTTCTAAATCCTTCAATTTTTTAAAGTTTAAAAAAATCTTAGAAAATCCGGATTGAATACACCCTCCTAAAATAAGAATAAAACATTAAAAATGTACTAAAATTTAAGTTCTATGTTTTCATTTCAGAAATTAGAGTTGAAACGCTTATACAGCGTCAATCATGACCATATATATAGGGATGTAAACAAATCAAATACTTTTAGTTCGATTCGTGATTTGTATTCGAATATAATGATTCGAATTCGCATTATTCAAATTCAAATTCAAATTCAAATATCAATTTTGATTCGAATATTAAACAAATACAAATACAAATAGGAGTATATTCGATTCGGGTGATATTCGAAAATTCGAATATATGTATATACACACAAACCATGTCTCAAGATCAATATAGTCAAGTAAAGTAATATAGATAAATTATTAAAAATTCAACAAATTAACGTAACACCAAAATCTAAAGCATATAATTTTTAATAGTTATATTTTATAAAATATAATTTGTGTGATGTGAAAGTGTATCAATGTTTTTAGATAAAGTATAAGAAGTATTGTAAGTTAAATTATTAAAAATCTATGTTGGTCTATCATATAAATTACGCAGTATGATTATTAAAGTATTCGTTTAGAATTCGTCAAGTATTCGAATATTAATCAAATACACATTCAAATCTTATTTTTAATTCGTCTCATATTCGGATTCGTATTCGTATTCGAAAAAATTAAGCAAATACAAATTCAAATATCTTGATATTCGCTTCGATTCAGTTTGTTTACACCCCTACATATATATACTTCCAAAAAATATTGTGAATTATCTATATACAGTACCACGTTAGTACAATACTAACTTATATTTAAAGGATTAAAAGATGAATATCCTATTTTGATATTTTTCAAATAAGAGAAGATTTTGGTTCTAAACAGGTAACCATGCCATTAACCTATTATGAGATTTTCTAGGTGTACCCCAGGTCCACATTATCTGTGTGTCAAAGTGTTTGTGTGTGTTAGGCTTGGGTACACCGTACACCCCCTTTAGGTTTTTCACATATGCAAAATATACTAGAGATCTTACACTTTGTTTGTTTGGAGGTAAGGGGAAGTAGAACAAGGTAGATTTAATATTCTACCTTGTTTGATAACAACAATTGAGATAGGTAAAGAAAGGTAAGGAGAGGTAGAGGGAGGTAGGGTTACCTCTGAACAGTAGTTTTTATGCTACCGTCAATTTGGCTAAATATCGAGATAATATCAACAGGTTCCGCTGCTACCCTTCATACTTCCCCCGATCGCAAAAACCCATCGCCATCTCCTTCTCGCATCGTCATCTTCTTCCGATAGCCGTCTTTCCATCTCCAACAGGTATTTTCGGCACTTTTTTTCACTCCAATTTTTCAGTTTCGTTCATTTTTTTTCAATTTCGGTCACTTTTTTTCTATTTTTTCGTGCACAATCCGTAGATCTGATTCTCTGCGGTGATTTGGGAATTTGGAGGGGCATTTCCCAATCAATGCATAATTTCATACTTCATCTCTACTGACATAAAGAGAGTGTGAGACCATATTTGATAAAGTGGAACTCCACCAATAATTTCACTCCTCAATTAACAAAAATTTACCATTTTCTTTATATTTTACGGAGTAGTTAAATAACATTATCAATTTTTTATATTATTTATTTTTTAATTAGTGTAGATTAAAATTATGTTTTTCATTTGATTTATTATTTTTATAATAATAGATAATTTATTAATGGAAAAATAGATAAATAAAAACAAATATTACAACATTACTTTTTGTTTCGAAACAGAATAATATAAAAAAGCGTGTGACACACACGTTATTGCCCAAAAGAAATACATAATTAAAATGCACCACATAAACAAGAACTACAACTAGTAATTTAGTAGAGTTAAGTTATTGTGGATGTGTGGTAGTTGAGTGAATTTAGGTAGAATTTGAGTTAGGTGTAGGATTTTGTTTAGTAGTTGAGAAAATTTAGTTAGGTTAGGTGCATGATTTGAGTTAAATTAGATGTAGTAGCTGAGAAAAGTTAGAAAGTTAGGTGCAAGAGTAATTTGATGGGTTACACTGGCACAAAGTGTTGGTGTGTTCACAAAAATTTACACTAACACAAAGTGTTGGTGCATTAACAAAAATTAGTATTACACCAATACACAATGTTGGTGCACATCTGCGATGTACAAATGGAATACAAATAATTTTATCCTTAAAACTTTAAACAAATTGAACATAATAAAATAGATGGAATTATATTTTTGTTAATTTTTGTTAACGCGATAACATTTTGTTTCAGTGTAAATTTTTGTTGACGCGATAACATTTTGTGTTAGTGTAAATTTTTTCTAACACACCAACACTTTATATCAATGTGAAACATCAAAATGTTAGTGCATACATTTGGTGTAAAATTGGGATACAATTTTTGGGATATATGTAGCATATTCCATATTTTCAATTGGGCGTAACTGTACAAGGAGTACTTTTACATTTTAAAGGTAAATGAGTACTGTTCATCATCAAATTTTTTTAGATGCACTGACAGGGAACTCTTTTTTAAAACCTTCACTGGCAGGGAAATAATTCGAATTTGGAGGGTTTCAATTTGGAATCTTTTGTCACTGTTCTGCTCTGTTCCGCTTGAGTCTGTTTGGATAATTGAAGACAATTTTGCCATGTGTTCTTTAGTTGCTTCCATTAACAGTACAGTGATATTGCAAGGATTTTCCATGTTTTTGCCTCTTGAATTGATACAATTTTTTCCTGTTTATTTGACATTGCTTACTTCAATTTTCAATTTTCATTCTTTTTCAGTTTCAAGTTTTCTTTTTTTCAGTTTTTGTTTTTTTTTCGTTTAAATTTCAACTTTTAGATTTCGTTCTTCTGCTCTCCCATGCCGCCGTTCAATTTTCAGTTTTCATTTTTTTTCCGTTTCCAGTTTTGGTTCACTTTTTTTTCAGTTTTTATTTTTTTGAGATAAGAGAATGGGAAATTGTGGCAAAGTGATAAACAAATAAAGAAAAACAACCACAAGAATATTTTAGTAATTTTATTCTTTCCCTACTCACGTTACCTAATAAACATCCAAACACAATTTTTTAAGTCATTACCTTACTTTATCTACATTCATTTACCTACCTTCAATTACCTACCATTACGTACCTAATAAAACTTTTCTCTCTTTGGCTTTCGCCTCTGCTCCTACTCCCCGTCGCCCATCCACCCGGCGACAGACGCCGGCGGTAGCCGCATAGGCGGCGTGTTTTTCCAACGGCTACAAACGCACATCCACTCCTCGTCTTATTTGGCTATTTTTCTCTGGTCAACTTCAAATCTGCCATTCTTGATCATAGGTAAGTATTTTCAAAGCATAGTTTTCTAGATTATTGTATATTAGTATGTTACTTGTTCATACTAGTTATTGGTTTATTAGTTGTTCAACTGTTTTTATTTTTTAGATTCTTGTCAAGGAACCAACTCAACCAAAAGCTCAAGCTTGTAGTTGTGGCCCAAGAACATTTATTTATATTCTAACACGCCCCTCACGTGCAGGCGTAGTCTTTTTCGAGCCTTGCACGTGAAACCTTAATTTTTTAAAACTGGGTGGCGCTGAGTTTCGAACCCGTGACCTCTTAGTCAACGAGACTCCGATACCATGTCAAGGAACCAACTCAACCAAAAGCTCAAGTTTGTAGTTGTGGCCCAAGAACATTTATTTATATTCTAACAATTCTCGATTTGATTTTTCCAGATTTTTCATACTTGTTATAGGTATTTCGATTGTTTGGAAAAATAGGATTAGGATTCGGATACAGTTATAGTAGATCCTAAACGGATATTATGCCCCTAAAGCTTGAATAAATGCGGAGTAGTTTTTGCCATGGAGTCTAAAATACTCCGCAGTTGAGAATGAGTTCTTAGTGTTTCAATGCTTTGATTTTTTTTATTAAATTGATTTGGTTAATGTGTAATCGATTGAATTAATTTGCCCCGCGTAAATAATATTACATCATATATATAGCATGAAATTTAACAAAACAACAATTAGAATAAGCTTAATAATTAAAAAAGTACAAAACACACCATAAAACCTCAAAATTAAAAAAAAAAACATTTCAAATACGTAAAATTAAAACTAAAGACAAATAACAAAAATACGATACAAATTAAATCTAATTTTATATGAAATTATTGATTAAAAGTGTTTTGGGGTTTATGTGTGATTTAGTCTGAAATGCATTTAGTTTCTACCATTTATAATGAATGGATCCATATGTTCATCATATCAACGGACAAATGAGCTTGTGATGTTCGTCATCTTCGCGACATATATAGTGCACTTTGCTTATTGCAAATTTATAGGATAGATTATAGAGTAAGATCAGTAGCGTGAGAACCTTATACTGAATAGCTTCTCAATGTCTTTGAAACTCTAAATTGGTTGTAACAGATTACTACTTCGTATTAATCTAGATACACATCTCATGTGTATCTAGATTGTGAACTATAATTGCTTATAAGGACATCTCCATTGCCTAGCTTTCTTATTGTATATAATCCATGTTCTACCATGAATTATGTGTTCAGAATGGTTTGAATATTTCAGTAAATGTGATGCTGGTTTCTGTGCCAAGTTTCTCATTGAAGACGGTTTGATTCAGTCTCATACTTCACTGGCAATTGAGATCTCCACGAATCCTTGAGGTGTGGAAAATGGGCACTGTGAAGTACCTTGAAGCACTAAAGCTACAAGAAATGATATCATCACAAAGAAAATCCCGTAAAATAACGGACACATTGATATCTTTACAACATCCACCAACATATACCCCTGGCAAAAGGCGAACGGATCACAATTTGTTACTTCCGGATTCAGAGTTGAAATCAATGGGCGCAGAGCTTCACTACACCCAGAGGGGAGGTGACATTACATTTCACGGTCCTCACCAGGCCATCTTGTATCCCATCATATCATTGAGAGATTTGGGTCTCGGGGCAAGGAAGTACGTGGAGAAGCTAGAGCTGACCATGGTTGAGTTAGCATCTGAGTATGGGGTGAAAGCAATGAGCGGAGGATCACGCGGAGAGACCGGTGTTTGGGTCGGCGACAGAAAGATAGGTGCGGTTGGGGTTCGTATCTCATCAGGGGTGACGTCACACGGGTTGGCATTTAACATTGATCCTGATTTGAGTTACTTTGATCACATTGTGCCCTGTGGGATATCAGACAAAGGGGTGGCTTTCCTGAAAAGAGAGGCAGCAGTAGATATGGAGCTTCCTGCAGAAGATGTGATTCAGGATCAGCTTGTTTCTTGTTTTGTAAGAGTTTTTGGTTACAGCGATGTTGTTTGGAACAAATCCCCTCCCCTTCCTTGCAATTGAATGCTGATGTTTGTTAATATTGCTGACTAGTTCACATTCAAACTTGTTGTGCTCTAATATAACAACATACTGGTTTTTTTTTCTTACGAAGTATTCATTCATTGCAATTTAAGTCTTTTTTTTTACCAAGGCGTTTTTTCTTTATTCTCAAAATAAAAGTTATACAGTATATTTTTATCTTCAAGGTAGGACCTAAATTAGAGTATAAATTACTCCGAGTGCTCATCTCATCATCTGCTCATTCTAGCCGCTGATTTCCTCAAAGGATAAAAAAATGAGAGTCCTAATTTCAGATGATCGGGATGTTGATTTCATAGTGCTGATTTCAGAGTGCTAATCACAGTGTTTGATTTCATTTAAAAAATTAAAGTGCTCGTCTGCTCATTCTTGGTAATTGGCATTATGATGCTTGCGCTAAATCCGTTATTAATTATTATTATTCACGTTTAGTTTAATTTCTTTTAATAATAATGAATAGAAAGCCAAATACAGTAGTGTTTATAGTCCATTCGGGCCCTAAACAAAAAAATTAATCAGGGGCCCTTAGCTTATATAATAAGAAAATAATCTTGCAAGCTTGCAATAATATTATCTTGCTTAATTACTTGGATCATGAATATTTTCTACATGGTAATTTTGATGATTTTATCTTCCACTATTTTGCATATTCTTCTACAGTGGTTTCTTATGTTCTTTTTAGTGAAGTATCTCATTATCATCACACTCTAAAACCATAAGATCAATAGTTTCTTCATTGAACGATTAATGACAAACACTTTTTGAATCCTTCGCAAATGGGATCATTCTCTCTCTAATAAAATAAATTAAAAAACAAGCTGTCGTTTGAGACTTTGTTTTCCTACTCTTAGAACATTTATGAATTTCATCTTTTTGGTTCAAACTAGATCTTTCATGCTTATAGTTTTTGCCATTTAAAAAATCCTGAATTATATTTTTTGCTAACATGTTTAAATTCGTAAGCTATGTGTATCATATGCTTTATGGGAGCTTAAACACCGCCACATTGATTTCACGTGGCATGTCACCCCATCACCCCTTATCACGCCAAAGTGTGTTGTAGTGAGGGGCTTGACGGTACTTGACCTAATTCTTGGTTAATGATTAATTTTTTTAATTCAATTGTGTAATTTATGCATTAACATGTAGATTAAATTATTAATTTTTAGGGCTATCAACGGATAGCCGAAAATCTGATTACCGTTCGCATCCGAATCCGTTTAAAGAGGAAATATCTGCATCTGTTTTAAACGGATATTATTCGTATCCGATTAAGGATATCTGGTTACTAAACGGATACGGATTTGGTAATTGTATATCCGATCCGTTTAAAATCTGATCCGAATATGCATCCGTTTAAATAACCGTTTATCCAAATATTCGATCCGTTATGTATAGTTTTTCCTAATTTTTTATGTTTATATTTTGTTTCTCTATATTGATATTTCAAAATATAAGAAATTTTTATATACAAAAGAAATGTGTAAACATATAAAAATATGTACACACATAAAAATATGTGTATATGTGTGTCGTGTATATCTTTTATCATATAAATTTATCGTAGAAGATCATAAATCATGAAAACAAAGAAAATAATTATCTCATACCAATTTATAGTTGATTTAATAATAGTTTGACTTTAATCTAATTTAAAATTAAAGTATTGTTTAATTTGATTTTAATAATTGGAAACGGATACGGATATATCCGATATCCGACCGATATCCGACGGATGCGGATACGGTTTTGATTTTCAGTATCCGTCAAGATCCGTATCCGAATTCGATATCCGACAAAAATAAACGGATATGGATTTGGTAATGACACATCCGATCCAATTAATATCCGTTTACACCCCTATTAATTTTAACATAATTCAAAGTAAATGCATTCATGACGAAAAACCAATGAAAAAATTACAAAAGCTTTGAATTTCAATTACCCTAAACTTGTATTGCATATTAGTATAACGAAATAAAATTTTGAAAGTTCTGGATAACATAAATCTAATAAAATTAATTTTATACTAAAATACATTACGATTTTTATTTTATTGAAGCTCAAAGTTCATCAATTTTGACTCAAAAAAGTCAAACTGGACAAATACATTGGGACAGACGTAGTAATATACTTGTCGTCCATGTTCCATTTCGCCCAGATGTTTGCCTTCACCCTCTTGGTGTCCTATCTAACGCACGCGGTCAAGTGATCAGTATTCGGTTGGAGTTTACAACATGCACATACATGTCGTTGTTTAATTTTCTAGTTGGAGATCAACGAACTTTTTCAGATACATCTCGTCCAACTTCTCTTCTAAATTGTTATTTCCCAAGGACATTGGTCATTTTCTTCCGTTGTTGCGACCAGGCAGGCACTGAGGTTCAGGATGCATGAAGTACTCTTCCTTGTCTTCATTCAAGTCATTCAAATTTATTTAGACTCGAGAGGAAGAATGTCCCGAATCAACATCAGTCGACGAATCCATCTTGAAATGTTTTGGGACTTGAAGTCTCGGGACAAGATGCCACTTCTTGGATAGACGAATGAGTTGTCACACCTAGATACTCATGGACGCGCCCTACTCACGAGTTTATTGCATCAAGGCCTCGTTCATAACATGCTCATCGCTCATGCCACTCTTCCATCTGTTATTTTGCCCTGTCCAAATGCCGGAGAATTTGAAGACCTTCGCATGCAAGTGTCGCCGTTTACTCAAGTTCATTTTGTTCGTATGGTATTTTCCGACCCATCACCTCAAAAAACTGAGCCCAAACAACCCATAACATTGAATATGTTTGATTACAACCTGTAAAAACTCAAAAAATAATAAAAACAAAAGTGTATTATTTTTAGAATGAGTAAAACGTATAAAAAGTGTTATAAAAAACCAATGAGCGAAATGACTGGTTTAAAAAAAGTAAATGCTCCGTGACTAAAATGTTCTTGTTCTTTTTTTTTAGTTGTGTTTCAGCAGACATTTTTGAGTTCCAAAGAGACCCAAAAATGGTGAATCCAGAAAATGGGAGGACTAAGGGAAAGAATAAGAAGGCACAAGTCCAAGGGTAGTGTCTTCAGAATTTTTTTGAAAGACAACGTGAAATGATAAAAATAATGTTAAATATTATTTCAACATTGTGCATTAGTACACATAATTTGTAATACTTTTGTTCGTAGTATTTGTTCAATATAATTTTTTGAGTCAATTTGGTTAAATTTTAATCATTAATTACATTAAATTTGTATTAGATATTATTACAATAAAATAAATTTCTAATTTTTTCCATTAGATAAATCTTACCAAATTATTTTTGTACCAGAATCCAATGCAAGTTTTGTTTAATTAATGGTTAAAGTTTGTCCAATTTAACTAAAAAAATCAAACTGGTGAAATACTCTAGGATGAAATTAGTAATTAAGTAAATAAGTAATTTAGATTAAGAACTTATTAATAAATAAAGTACAAATCAAATTTTCAGTAGTTTAGCATTTAAAATGGCTTGACTCCTTTTTCTTTACCGAAGTAGAGTTTGGAAAATTAATGGGGCATTAATTGTTTTTTAATGGGGGCATATTGAAAATTTTAAAAATGATTAGGGTATTTTTTTAAAAGAAAAAATTTGAAAGCCAATTGGGGCAAGTGCCCCCATTCCAACACATGTACATCCGCCAGGGAGGGATTGAGCTAACTTTTGGATAAAGAAATTCTGAAAAGAGTTTATTAGCATAGCAGGTTTCTGAGCATTACACCATCAGAGCATAAACAAGCCAACAAGGGGAGTTGGGAATCTCCCGGAATTATTTATTAATTAATTTATTTAAATCATCACAGCACCTTAGCCATAATGAGGCTTCTCCAGGAAGGCAGGCAGGCTCAAATGGAGATGCTGTTCGGCACACCTTTGCCAGTTACGCCGGGCTCTGAATATGGCTTCAAGAGCTCGTAAGGTAAAATTCCAGCCCCACATATATTCTTCAAACACCTATCTTGATTCCGACCATCAAGATTTATCAATATTTTACCAAAATAAGAATTCCATGTTTTTATTCTTGATATAAGAGTTAAAATGCATATATAGTACGAATCATGACCATATACATTATGAAAAAATATTGTCAAATATCTATATACGATGTCACATTACCACAGTGCAAACCCTATTTTGGGGATAAAAGGATGGAGTTCATATTTTGGTATTTTTTCTATGTTTTACTACTATTTATAATCATTTCTTTTTTTAAAATCTTTTTACACTTTGCATAGATACAAATTTACAATAACAAACATGAAAGCAAATGTCTGGAATAAGTACAACACTTTGAGTTTTAATATCTCTATTTATGAATAGAGATTATAAAGATATGATATTTTAAAGAACGTTGGTAATCTTAAACCAATTGAATCAGTGTAAGATTGTTAGACCAATTCAATTGGGGCACCTACGGTGCTCCAGTCGTAAAATTAATTATTCTTACTCTCCTAACCCCCAGTAAACACCCCAAACCCAACCCGTCCCTTACGCACCCTTGCACGCTTCCCATTGCATCATCCAAATTTTGAGTAAAACATTGACCATAAAGTCAACAAAATATGAATAAATTGACCATTTTATTTTCAGAAAATAATTGTTACGAATTACTCGTGTCTAGTTTTCATTGGACAAATTGAGTTGAAAATCTTAGAAGTGAGTCTGGGATGTTAAAGAGTCACTTCAAGACTTTCTCCATTTTTTATCTACATTATATTTTGGCCATTAATATTTCTATCTATAATTAAACAAATATTTAGAAAAAAATATGATATTTTAAAACTACTTCTCAAAATTAATTTATTCATAATAAATTTATATCACAATTCAATTTATGTTTTACTTAATTTGCGATCAAAGTTTAAAAAACGTTGAATACAAAAATCAAAATAGGAGGAAAGATATGGGAGGAAGAGAGTAAAATTGAACTACTTAAAGCTAGGTTAGATAGCATAGCAATTCCCATGACCATGAAATGTAAAAATGCAGTAGTTCTAGGCTGCTGATTTGTACCTACTCATGACCTTACACCTCAGTACTCTGTCGTGCACGTCAAACCCAGGCATGACCATGACCTTAACCCGACTTGGACCTTGAGATTTTGGCCTATCCCCGAAAACATCATCCATGAAATGAGAATCAAATGGTCTGTTCTCTTCAACTCTGAGGAATACCACAGGCGGGTAGAATGAGAACGCCAGCAAATGCAGCAGCCAAATGCACTTAGCAGACACGAAGAAGGCTTGGAGAAGCCGCTCGGGCCATTGCTTGTTCCACTTAAGGACAGTGATTATGGAACTCATTTTCTGATCACAAAACCTGCTGAGCTCTTCACTGTAATACTTTGTCCCCCTTTTTAGCACTTCATTCCAACTAAGGCTCCTTAATGCCGCAAACGATGAGAATTGCGAGTGTCGTTCTTGTTCTGGACTCAAATGCTTTGGGGCTCCGTTCTTCTGAAACGAGCAATTCTCGAAATCCTTGTACAAGGTCTGGTTTATGATGCCTTCCAAATGGTATAGAACAGCCTTTGAATACTTCGAATGGAGGGTCTGTACGGTTGGAGCAGAAGGTTCAAGTTATCCGTTAAGGAATCATTGTCGTTATTAGTCTTGACAGTAGTTGTGTGGGAAATAAGAGTTTCACAGAATTGCTTAACCGATTGTCTAGCCTCCGACACGACTTGCAAGAAGCCCTCCAACATTACTTCCTCGCTCACTTGCATTGAGTTTCCTCCTTCCACAATTCTTGGAAGACTCTTGTTAATTAGCTTCACTGGCGAGTCCTCCTTTGATGATTGAATTGCTACCCTCAACGCCTGCTTAAGCTCTCCACAGTATCTCTCCAAGTACTCCAATTTTCCCCTGATTTCCCCGATAGAAGATTTTGTTTCTGCAACTTCCATCAGTGCTGCGTCTCTGTCCTCATTCGCTGCCATCACCTCTTTCTTCAATGCTTCTATGGATGCCGACCCTATATCCTCTGATTCCGACGTCGTCCTTAGCGGTGAAAATTCGTTCTTGATTTTCTTCCTCAGCCAAGAGAAAATCAACCCTTTGTTCTTTGGTTGCTGTGGTTGAGCAGAAGAGTCTGATGGTGGCACAACAACGTTACAAGGATTCTTTCCAATCTTGCTGAATTCGGCGGCTCCGTGGACTACACTCTGGTCAGCAAAACTGTTGGGTGATTCTGTGTTGATAGAAGTAGCAGCAAATGCATTTCTTAAAGAAGATTTTGGTTTTTTGTAGTAATAATAATAATCTGATTTAACCGATACGTTTCCACTTTCGGTTCCTTTTCCTCCTCCAACGCTATATTTGTCGCAAGTTTCAGCGTAGTTTACGTTGTTTTCTAGATGTAGATGTTTGTAGCCTGGCAATGGCCCCTCCTCATCATAACTCTGTCAAATTATACTCCCAAATGGTGAATCATTAGTGCCTCAACAAATTAAACAAACATGGAAGGAATCAAGGAAATATAATTGTAAGTCTATTCACTACCGATGAAGCAATTAAAAATAAAACTATAATAAGGGTATGTATGCCTTTTAGACTTTAAAGTGTGACTTCAACGACTATGTTGTATATGCTCACAAAATGTTGGGAGCACCCAACGGAAACACCATGATAAAATCATGTTATTTTATCAAATAATCCTTGAAAAGAGATTTAAAAAGAGCATGGATAATAGTAAAAATGATCGAATCTTTTTTACATGAAGGAAATAGTGTATCCATGTCAATATGTCATGCACCATGTCTGCATATGTTTCATTTTGACAAAAAACAAAAATCTACCGTTCTAAAATACCAGAGTAATTGTTAGCATTATTTTAGACCAAAATAATGTGAATATTACTATGAATTTACAACTTTATTTTATGGAGTATATAATCTTTGGCATTTTAGAGTTTTGAAAAGTTATTCTTTACTACTCCCCTATTTACCAAAACTTTTCCTCTTTTGCTTTTTTTTCTTTTAAAAAAAACTTCTACTTTCTATTAAAAAAGACTTACACTTTTTTATTTCCTAAATAAGACTTAATAATGACTAGTGAGAAGAATAATGTCCAAGTGATGCTGGACATTTAGTTGAATAATGACTAATAGATAATGACCAATGGTCCTACATTGAAAAATAAAAACATATTGTCTTATATTGAGAAAGTCATTATGTTTTAATCTTATTTAACTAAATTACTCATTAAAAAAGCTATAGACTTTTCATCTCATTCACAAGACAAAATCCTAAAGGGTCAACCAAACATGATTGCAAAAGTCACTTTTTGTGATAGATAGTCCTTTTATACTTAACCAAATCTTTGAAAATTTACAAACAATTTTCAAAAGAATGTGTATTATTAAGATACTCTGCATTCGAGTAATAGAGTTGCCAATAGAGGCACTAAGAGGTGTTTGGCATTACGCTGCTTTTAATAATTTAGCTTCTGCTTTGAGTAGAAGTGATTTTATTCTGTTTGGCATGTCAGCTTCTGCTTTTCACCACCACTATTTTATACACAGAACACCGTTTTTGAGAAGCATGTATGAGATGCTTTTGCTTTAAGCTTTTGTGAAAATCACTTTATCCAGAAGTTAATCACTCCAAAAACCTTTCCGGTTTTGACTTTGGGGAAAAATAAGGAAAGTGTAATTTTGGTTGACTTTCTAATTTTGCCCCTGATGTGATGGGAAAAAGTAAGATGTGATAGTTTGGTTATTAGTGAAAAAGTATGATGTGATAAGTAGGGTATGAAAAAGTAGGGGTAAAAGTGGTTTTTAATAGAAAGTGGAAGTGTTTTGTGAAAAACAAAAAAAACGAAAGAGGAAGAATTTTGTGGAACGGAGGGAGTATTAATAATGTACAAATAGGCATAGAAAGGTTGTGGGGGGAGGCTAGGGGCGAAGGAGTGTTAGGGTGGGGACAAGGTGGGCAGAGTGGGTTTTGAGGGGAGAGGGGTTGGGAGTAAAAATTACCCCATCTATTTCATAAAACTGTTCTTATTTTAACTTTTGTGAGAAATAAAAAGTGTCTATTTGTAATTGATTTTTTAATTTTACCCTTGATTTGATGCGCAAATACAAGATGATGTGATGTGTAGATTTTTAATGAAAATGTATAATGTTATAGGTAAGGTAAGATAATGTAGTGGTAAAAGTACTTTTTAGTAGAAAGTGAATGCGTTTTGGGAAAAAGCAAAAAAACTAAAGAGAAAGTGTTTTAAGAAACGAAGAGAGTATCAATTTTACAAATCGAGTAACCGTAGTTGTCCAATGTCGTCCCATTATATTGAAACCCTCAATGTTATAGGAATCGACCTCAAAACTAAGTATGTGGCTTTTGTTTGGAATAGTAAAAAACTTGAACGAGAGAAAAAGAAAATAAATTTTGAAATATCACAAAAATAAAAATGAGACAAAAATCATAGGTCATGGGCTATTTCTCCTATTATGACAACAATGGAAATTTATCAACCCGAGGTCTGCCACGGCCCCAAAATACTTCATTGAAGTTGGTAGAAGAGGTAAATCGCGGGTAACACGTGACTCAACTAGCTATCGACAACATGACTTGTCACGGCCAATCTAACCGTACAAGGGGCTGGATCGTCTAAAAAGACGCTTCCAGAATTTGAAACCATAGGTCGCAACAAGACTCACATGATGCCTTGCCCATCTGAGTTGGGCCTCAGAGGTTTTTGCGTTTCATAATTGATCACTGTCTTTTAAATTTGTTCTATTTATAAATTGATATGGAAATTAAAAATATAACTTAAATATTTAAAGCTAAGAAAAAGGTTTCATAAAAAGTGACCCGTTTATTTATCAAATAATAATGATAGAAAGGAAACATACAAATAAATAAAAATTATTGGAAATAGTAACATGGTAATGTGTTTTGGAATGAAGGGTGGTGTATATTCCACATATAAGAGAATATGATCGAGATAAGATGATATATATAGGTATAGCAATTGAATTACTCATTCTGAATTACGAGATTGTATGGAAAATAAATTTTATTTAATTTATTTTATTATAAGTATAAAAATCAAAAGTAAAATGAGTATACTCCGTCATACATTAAAAATTTTACAAAATAAAAAAATGTCTGTTTATTTTAAAATTTGCAGTAAATAGAACTAAAACGTAAGCCATTTCTAAATATAGAACTTAAACTTTTTTATTTCTTAAATATTACGGAGTACTTAGTAATGTCTAGTGTAAAATAAGTATCCGGTGAATTAAAATAGCATTAAATAAGTACACACCCAGAATAAAATTTGTAGAAATCACCCTAAATATGACTACAAGATAGAAAAAAATACCAAAATAGGAGTTCGATATTTTTATTCTCGAAATAAGAGTTCACACTGTGGTAATGTGGTTGTAATGTGGCACTGTACATGTGCACATTACTATAGTTTTTGGTAATGTACATGAGCATGTTTGGTAATGTACATGAGCATGTTTGGTAATGTAAATGCATTTTAACTCCTATTTTGAGAATAAAAACATGGAAATCATATTTTGATATATATTTTCAATGTTTTACTTCTACTTTAGTCTATCTTCCTAAAATTTGAAGGTGTGAATAAGGAAAGATTATTTCATTTCAGGAGGGACAGATGGAGTAGCTTCAGCTCGATCTCATCCTTCAACGAATCATTTTTTTTTGAAATGGGAAAAGGCAGCTGAAGGAAAGGAAATGACGGATGGGACTTACAGGGTAATCCTGTGCAGAGAAGTGAGGGAGATGATGAGGTGATGAAGCGGTAGAGAATTTGAGACTTGCTGGGCTGCCATCGCCCTGCACCAGAGCGGCATGGAGGGCCCTCAGCTCCGCCGCTTTGGCAATGGCGTCTTCAATCTCTTCCCTTCCCAATTTACTGCTTCCGTTTCCTACACAACTTTCCGTTGTTGCAGCCATGGAACAAACAAACAACACAGTACACTTATTTGCTTGCGCGCAAAAAGATCAGACTAGTATAGGATGATGGGTGAATTGTGGTCGGGATTTGTTAATTCTATGAGAGGAAACGATCATATCCATACCATATATGATTGTGGAAGGACCAGAAAAAGAGAGAGAGAGAGAGAGGGTGTGGGGTGTAATGGAATTTTGAAGGGCGGAAATCCAAAATGGGGATTTGTCTTTACATTTAAAGGTCTCTATAGGATGAGTGCATGTGAAGAAAAAGAGAGATGTATGATGTGTTGTTGGGTTCGGTTGTTTATAGTAGTTTTCTTTGTCCGTAGCCAACTCAATGAACGCAGGAATATTTTCACATTCTAAATTAATCCCTTTGCCCCATCCAAAAAATTGATATTACCAAAAGATTCCCACAAAACATTTTCTATTTTTCACTTTTAAGAAATTTAAAGAAGAGATATTTTTTCGTTGACTTGTCCAAATTGGTCTTTAATGTGATGTGTAGATAAATAGTAAATAAATATAATGAGAAATGTGAGGTCAGAAATAGTCAAAATAAAAATGATTCTTTTAATGGAAAGTCTACTTTTAAGAATATAAGATGTCAGTCAATATTTTATGGAACAGAAAGAGTAGAAATGAAAATATGTGGTTAGAATTTATTTGGAAAAGAAAATTTTCACCATTCATTCTTTGGCTAAAATCCACCATTGGTCCTTCAACTTTATCAGTTGTGCACGATTGGTCCTTCAAGTTTCAAAAGTCCAAAAATAGTCCTTCAACTTTATGAGTTCTGCACTATTGGTCCTTCAAGTTTCAAAAGTTCATAAAAGGTCCTTCAGGTACACGTCAGCCCTCCAGATGAAATCCTTTTCGCAGTAAATATTAAAAGTTAAACGAAATACTAGTTTCATATAAAACGAGTAAATTCACTAGGTACGACTACTCTGTATTATATGGAGCTAGTATTCCATTTAGCTTTTAACATTAACTGTCAAAAGGATCTCATCTGGAGGGCCGACGAATACTTGAAAGACTACTTATGCACTTTTAAAACTTGAAGGACCAATCGTGCATAACTAATAAAGTTGAAGGACTTTATATGGACTTTTAAAATTTGAAGGACCAATCGTGCACAACTGATAAAGTTGAAGGACCAATGATGGATTTTAGCCTTCATTCTTTTTCAAAAAAGGAAAAAATGGAAGTTTGTTTTGAGACGTCAAACAAGAAAAGTGAAAAAATTAGTGTCACAGATAAGTATTTTAAGACACTTTCTGAGGACCCGTTTTGTGGCTCAAAACAAAGTAAAATTTATAAAATAATCCTTAGCTAACCCCAAAGAGATATACTCAATTAAAAACTATCGCTAGGCAAGTAAGGGTTCATCCCACAGAAAAAATTTGTACTTTTTAAAACCAATTTAGCACGCACAATATTGTCACAAAATAAAAATAAAAGAAAATTAACAAAAATACATATGATAAGAACTTATAAAATTTATAATAGAACTTATAACTAAATAAACATAGAACTTATATATAACTAATATAAACAAAAAATCTATATAATAACTTACACACAGCACATACTAAATATATAAGTAGATAAAGTATAAAAACTTATATTTAAAATAACTTATAAACAAACACTTATATTATGAACTTGGTAGATAAAAACTTATACAATAACCAAGACAAAACACAAAGGGGGGGGATAAAAAATATATTCTTTAGTGTTTTTTATATTTTCTTATTTATTTTTTTAGTAATATGGGGGGAACAAGCTCGAAAAGATTTGATCAACTTAATCAACCTACGTAACTCATGAACACCACCAAGAACCCGAAACAAAACAAAAAGAGATCAACCACACAAGACCAACATTAAACATATCAATCATGCTAGGGATACAGTAAAAAGTGAACCCTAAGTTTTACCCCAAGGAAATGCATCAGCATTTTAATGGTTTACATTGGCACAAAATATTAGTTCAATTAAAAAAAAATTACACTCACATATTTTGTCAATGTAAATCACCACACTAGCATCACATTAATACAAAATGCCAGTGTATGTCTTTGGGGTAGAAAATAAGGTACAAATTTTGGTGTACAAATACCTTGATCTTTAACATATAATAGGCACATAGACAATATGTTACGTAACTTACACACATAAGAATTGAAATAATCAATCAAAGGCCAAGTCGACTCATGTCCTTAACCACGATATGGAGGATTGTCAACTCTCCACATGGCCCGAAGTCACGCAATTCAAAATAAAAGAAAATTAACAAAAATACATATGATAAGAACTTATAAAATTTATAATAGAACTTATAACTAAATAAACATAGAACTTATATATAACTAATATAAACAAAAAATATACTCCCTCCGTCCCATGAAACCTTTCTCCTTTCTTTTTTTATCCGTCCCACAAAAAACTTCTCATTTCTATTAAAAAGTGACTTTTATCCCTTACTTTTTCATACCCTACCTATCACATCATACCTTTTTACTAATAATCTATCCATCAAATCATACTTTTACCCATCACATCAAAGGACATTTTTGGAAATTCAATACCAAAATACACTCCCCTTAAATCCCTCCTAGAAAGCAAAAGTCCCATGTTTCATGGGACGGAGGGAGTATAATATAACTTACACACAGCACATACTAAATATATAAGTTAATAAAGTATAAAAACTTATATTTAAAATAACTTATAAACAAACACTTATAATATGAACTTGGTAGATAAAACCTTATACAATAACCTTGACAAAACACAAAAGGGGGGGGGGGATAAAAAATATATTTTTTAGTGTTTTTTATATTTTCTTATTTATTTTTTTAGTAATATGGGAGGAACAAGCTCGAAAAGATTTGATCAACTTAATCAACCTACGTAACTCATGAACACCACCGAGAACCCGAAACAAAACAAAAAAGACCTTGATCTTTAACATATAATAGGCACATAGACAATATGTTACGTAACTTACACACATAAGAATTGAAATAATCAATCAAAGGCCAAGTCGACTCATCTCCTTAACCACGATATGGAGGATTGTCAGCTCTCCACATGGCTCGAAGTCACGCAATTCAAAGACCCGTTTTGAAATATACTTTTGAACTCCAACTCTCTATTCAAGCATGAAAACATACTGCCACTATTGAAAAAGTTTATAAAAGAGGAAATCTATTATGCATTCAACTCTCATACATAATCTAATCAGAAATCCACCAATAAATTATGCAATTTAATAAACATTAACTCCTAATGATGAGCACATTTCACAGATTTCCATTAACTTCTCAAACCTATGACATTTTTTCTATTCACATAAAAGAACACAACACATATTTTTAATAAATCGAGATTTATTTTTTAGCTTAAACAACCTCAACTTTATGAAAATGACAAACAAGCTAATTAACGAAGACATAACAATCGCACAATAACAAATTCTAAGGAAAATAGATCAACTTATGGGGCTAAAAAGTCCATGAACCTTAAAATCAACAATCACAAATCATAAGAAAGCATCACGTATGAATTCAAAGATCATTTAACGACCTTATGGAGCTAAAATAACTTCAACAAAAGTAATTTAGATTAAGAACTTATTAATAAGTAAAGTACAAAACAAATTTTCAGTAGTTTAGCATTTAAAATGGCTTGACTCCTTTTTCTTTACCGAAGTAGAGTTTGGAAAATTAATGGGGCATTAATTGTTTTTTAATGGGGGCATATTGAAAATTTTAAAAATGATTAGGGTATTTTTTTTAAGAAAAAATTTGAAATCCAATTGGGGCAAGTGCCCCCATTCCAACACATGTACATCCGCCAGGGAGGGATTGAGCTAACTTTTGGATAAAGAAATTCTGAAAAGAGTTTATTAGCATAGCAGGTTTCTGAGCATTACACCATCAGAGCATAAACAAGCCAACAAGGGAAGTTGGGAATCTCCCGGAATTATTTATTAATTAATTTATTTAAATCATCACAGCACCTTAGCCATAATGAGGCTTCTCCAGGCAGGCAGGCAGGCTCAAATGGAGATGCTGTTCGGCACACCTTTGCCAGTTACGCCGGGCTCTGAATATGGCTTCAAGAGCTCGTAAGGTAAAATTCCAGCCCCACATCTATTCTTCAAACCCCTATCTTGATTCCGACCATCAATGATACCTTCGAGCTCCTTCAGCCTCCCACCGAACCGCTCAAATGCAGCATTGATGACGGGGTCTTCAATCCAGTGTGGTTCTGGTGAAGCTCCTAGATACTCCTCATCCGGGGAGTGGTTCGACAAAACATCCAAAAGTGCCATGACTTTGGTCGCCTGAAGCTGTGAAGGAAAGCATTCCAAGAGTGCGCCCTCGGGCGTCTTCATGAAATCTTCCCATTCCTTTTCAGTGGGATCTTCCGTGGGCATTTTGGTTCTTGCGATCGTGGGCCTGTTTGGGAAATACCCTGCAAAGACATACTGACCGAAGTTGACAGCAGCATGGTGTCCTGAACATACCCATATCATGGTCGTCAAAATTTCAATGAGATCATTGGGGGTTTTCAGTTCTGGCCAACCAGCCGCATCTTTCTTGTCCGCGTGCCCGACTGTTCGGATTTCTGTCCACCATGCTTGGAGTTCTGTGTCAGATGCCACCCGACTCACATCTGGATAGTAGTGGCTCACATAATCTGTCACCCATTCTTTAATGATGTCCCAAAGCACTAATCCATCATTAGCGAAAGCGTAGTCTTCAATCGCCAGTTTAAGACCGTGCGGAGCTGTGGGATCCTTCTCCGCCAATCCCCTGCCAATTTGTAAAACAAGAAAGTTTCAACATCTTTTTTAGACTATGTTTGGAACCTGGGAAATGCTTGAGATAGGCAAACGAATGCCAAGGAAAATCCAATTTGATTAGAATATTTAATTTTTTACACATATTTAGAATTTTCGTCTTCATAATAGTAGAGTTTATAAATATTATGAGTTTGAACGCATAAATAAAATTGATTATTTGGACCAGTGACGGAGCTGCACTAATTTAAGCTCAATATATTGCTCTAAATGTAAGCATTTTTGTATGCTCGTATAATTTTAAGAGATCTTAAGATTTTCTCACCAGATAAATTTAGGTCCTGATAATGCAAATTCCTGACTCCCTCCCTCATTTGAACCGTTCTTTTTCAAATACTCTTTCCTTCAAAATGTTTCATTTTTTTCTTTCCCTCAAATTTTCTAGGTTCCTAACGGATCATTAGTACTATTTTTTTCTTGGGGGATGGGGAGGGAGGGGGTGGGGGTGTGAGATGTACATCAAGTGTCATAGAGGAATTAATAGTTACCGCGCCTTACCGGTTTATAAGATCTGCTCGCAATGCTTGAAGATCAAACTGCCACTCAAGTTTAAATGCAATAGAGCTTAACAGTATAGAGTACTTTCCGGGGGAGAAAGAGCTCTCAATAATACCATTTGCATTAATAAGAGCTTGCCGAGCCAATGCATTGATCTCCATGGTGTAACGGAAGTGAGGTTTTAACTGTCTGAAAATAGGGTGCAGAGCACTGAGCTGCCGATTGCTTGCAATAATATATGGCTCTATAGCACAGTGAGTTCTTAACCTACAAATAACATTTAAAAAGAGACCCCTTAAATTTCCATAAATTCTAAGTGGTCGAATGACTAGTCACTGCAGATTTAACAAAAACAATATACCAGTGACTGAATAGTTGGTGATAGCCAGAGTCATGAGCAAGAACATGGGCTTTAGCAATCTTCCAGAGCCAAGATCCAGTGGCATCCCAGGTCTGGCAAAACACTTGCTTCCACTGTGGCTTTCCACCTACGGGCGGTCTTGTGAGCTCAATGGCTAAGGGCCTCAAACAGCCAGTTTCTGTCAAGAAAAACACAGTCCTCGATGCATATAACACAGTCCCCTCTTGTTCATTCACTGTGTTCACTAAAGGCAGTAACAAATCGTGGTAGTCTAAAACGAAAAGCTTCTTCTCTTTCACTGCCTGTAATTTCATATGTTCTCTATGGTAATACCAAATACTATCACAACAGAGGTTACATTAATGTCTCAGGAAAACGGAAACCAATCCAAGTCCGAGTGTGTTTGCTGTAATGTACCTCATCAACGGTCATGGAACCTGTAAGTTCTTTCTCAATCAGCTCTTTTGTGATCGCAGATTCTGGAGGGTCGTAGACATTGGGGTCCAGCTTGCTCTTCAATGGCCACTCCTGAATGAACACATCTTACACTTTTTTCATGGCAATTCAAACAAATAACAGTGATCTTGGGAGAAGGGGGGCCTAAACTAGGCATACCTTTACCAGTTTTATGCTGCAAGGGTTTGTCGAGAGAATTCCTCATCCTTATACCAAGAAAATTTGTCTCCTACAATAACAACATTATGATGTCCTCAGGATGAATAACATAAATATATGTGTCATGAAAGAAATCGGGAAAAATATCAAAAGGATCATGTGTAACCCTGAGAGAGAGAGAGAGAGAGAGAGTGAGTGAGAGCTCGTTACGGTCAATCATTGCAGGGGTTTCGAATTGAAAGACATGTTTTCCGAAATCTGCTACGGACTTGATGATCCTAGGTACGACGCCATTTAGGATTCCTCCGGTTTGCTGAGATGGAATGTTAAACCCATTGTTATACAGATCATCAATGGCTGGAAAATGTGGGAATCCCATATCTAGATTATCGACGAGGATCGACTCGATTACTGGCACCACAGCATGAAGCACCGAATAAAATGTATTTCCAGCGAATGTTAGATTCTTCACTTCTGTGAGTGCTTCGTCCCTCGGAACGTAAACAGAGGAGCTTCTTGATTCAGACGAAGGGTCTGCATCCAGGAAAAGTAAGAACAGTCTCAACTCTCAATTTTTTTTGAAAACTGTCTCAACCCTCAATATTCAGATTAATGAAAATTATCGCAATGTTTCTTATGAAACTTTGAATCCAAAATTACTCACTCAGTCTTGAATCTTCATCCTATTTGAATATTTGATATCAAGTTATCAACAAAAATGAAACGATCGTTAGATCATCAATCATCATAGGGTACCTTTCGTGGAGAGAGGGCGCCCGGTTCTACATCGTCTCGGGTAAGGATGCTCCTTCCCGCCGAGAACTGGACGGAGCCCGTCGTCGCTACCGTCGGGATCGCCAATGTCGTTATAAACATCGTAATCATATATCCGGTCGAATTTTTGACGTTCGCCGGTGCCGTCGCCCCTCAGTGCCGCTAGCTCTATCTCCCTTAATTTCTTCAGCCCGCTTGGAGTTTGAGATGGTAAGTACGACTGTTCACAAATCATTACGGGATCAAAATTTTGACCGTATTTCTGGTTGAATTAAATTTGGAAGGGAAACGAAAACAATAATTTTTTGAAATTCTTATCAAAATAGTAGCAATTTGGTTTTTCTAAATAATTTATCTAAAATAATTTCACTTTTAACCGACCTTCCAAATTTGCCAAATAATTTCACTTTTAACCGACCTTCCAAATTTATCTAAATTTGCCAAATTGATTTTTCACTATTTTTTATAACAATATTAACGTTAGATTATCTCCTCAATTTATTTTTAACTAATCATTATAGCTTTTTATGTAAAAATTCAAACTAATGAATGTAGGCATACCTTATGTCCATAACTCCATATTTATACTTTTTTCAGTAACCATAATTTTCAGTCCATTACAATAGATTCTTATCATATCATCATATCTTATTTTGTAAAGGTTTTGGTCTGGTTCCAGTACCAAAAACCACAAGTTCAGTACCATTTTAAAAGAATCAGTATCATGTAGGGTCAATTTTGATTCAATACCTGTTCCCAGTACCCATTTTGGTACACCATGTATCGAAATAGAACTTTCACTTAATTAATATGAAATGCTATTTATATTTTAAATTTGTATTTCATTATGTACCCCAAGCATGGGCGGATCTACAGCTTTGGTTATGGGGGCAGCTGCCCCCAGTGAATTTTTTTTAATATATATATATATATATGTATATTTTTTATGTTTATATATAATTGCCCCCACTAAAATAAAAAATCTTCCCCAAGTTTGGCCCAAAACAATTAAATATGCTAAAGACCCAATCAAAGAATAAACTTGATCTTTATATTCACAATGTGCTAAAAGAAGAAAGATTTGGTAACTTGAGTGGTTTAGTTGAGCTTGCTAAAGTGATGGTAAGTACAAGGAAAAATTTTACATTTCTTTTGGTGTATCGCTTATTGAAGCTTGCCTTGGTTTTACCTGTCGCTACGGCAAGCGTTGAGAGATGTTTTTCAGCAATAAAACATGTGAAGTCGGAAAAGGAAGCGCTTTTAAGTGTTACAAATGAAGATATAATTGATCGCTTTCAAAAGATGAAAACTCGAAGAGAACAATTGTAAGAGGTATGTTCTATCTATTTAATTATACCTTGTTTTTTAATTTAATTTTAATGGTAAGAAGTATGTTCCATGTATTTAATTGTCTTTTGTTTTTAAATTTTATTTTTTTCACTTTAATTTACTGCCCCCAGCGAAAAAAATTTCTGGATCCGCCACTGACCCCAAGGCTTTGCAGATGTGCAAAATGTAAGTAAATACCAACATGGATACTCTCACACTTATATTTTAGTCCCGTGTAAAGCCATAGGGTAGATAATGAGATAGAAATTTGGGGTATAGGTAACACAACTCTTTTTTTTTTAGAGTTGTAATGTCAGGTCAAAGTAACAAATGTATAAAGGAAGGACTAACCTTGTTGCTGAAAAAAGCTCTCTTAGAAGAATTATCGAATTTGGAGTGGACCCAGGAATCACAGTTGATGCTAAGTGAGGCACCATCATGGAATAAACCATCTAGAACGATCTTCTTCACAAACATTTCCTGGTGGTGCTCATTCTCTATCAAAATTGCTCCCACCTCCCCGAAATCTTTAGGAATTACCAGATTGCACTCGTACTTCACTTCCTCATCCTTTCTTCCGGCCCCGCCCTGCCGATGTGCATACCCCTGGATGCTATTCTTCTCCCGCCCCGTTTCTTGTTATCAACAACAATAATATTAGCCAATAAGTTAGTTAGTCTTGGAAATTACACGAATGAGAGTATACTTCAAACGTTTACATCAATTTTATAGGTCTTTGAACCCCAAAGAAAAAGTCACATACTTTAATTTGTCTCTCTCATTTTTTTTAATGCAAATTTCTTCTCTAGTGCGTGCTTCAACATTTTTTTTTAAAATTAAACTATTTGTGCCCCAAAAATTATACTCACATTGTATTCCAAAGTTATGCACCAACATTTTATGCTAGCGCAATGCTAGTTTAATGGCTTGCAATGACACAAAATGTCAGTGCAATTTTTTTGATGACACTAGTATTTTTATGCCAGTGTGAACTGTAAAAATAATACCGGTGCATCTCTTTCGAGTATAACTTTAGATATATTTCTTGGTAAAACCCTAACATGGTTGAATTTTTTATTGTTTCACTTTTTTAATCTATTATAAACTCTAACCATTAATAAATACTCTCGATGACAAATGTTATAGTGGACCTAAGATCCACTATGAACCTACATATGAGCAAAATAAGTACTCCATATTTTCTTACTACTTAAATAAGTATCAACTTTTTATATTTTAATTCTGTAGATTATCAATGTAACTTTAAAAATTTTAAAAACTAAAGGCATAATCTGTTGGGTCGGCACAAACCCGATGACCCGGGGTCATAAACATACAATTCTCAACGCGAATCCGAATTGAACCGAGCCGAACTAGCACGAGCCCGAAATGACCGAACCTGAATCTAACCTGACCGATCGATTTGCTCTCTAGTGGCAGCATGGGTAAATTGGACTTATTTTGTATTTCATCTCCCATATATTAGGTTCTTAATTAAAGTTCCCGATAAAAAAAGTTCTTACTTAAAGTTTTATGAATAATAAGAAGGAATTAAATTTTTAAAAAAGGATCATTGAAATTTATGTTAAGAAAATTGGATTGGTTCTTTTGAAAATATTTAATTACACATTTGATTAATTGAAAATGCCACGTTTTTTTTCTTTTTGGTCTGCTGCTTCGGTTCAAATGGGGGTTGCATTTGTTTTTTATTTCCTTTTTACTCTCTGTTTCATATTCCAATTTGCTTGCTTTGTTTAAAATTTGTTATATAAAAATCCATTTATATTGTTATTTTTGTTTTTTGTGCACCAAATCCTCAAATACTCCCTATTTCCACAAATTATCTTCTGCTTTACTATTCACAAGGTCAAACTTTGTTAATTTTGATAACTTAATTTTGTTGCTTATTTGATAAAATAATATTGTTATGTCACCTCTAATTTTGTAGATCTTTTGATGTACTCCCTCCGTTCCATAAAATCATTCCCCTTTCGGTTTTCCAATTACTTAAAATACTTCCACTTTCTATTAAAAAAACCACTTTTACCCCTATTTTTTATACCCTACCTATCACATCATATTTTTTCACTAATAATTAAACTATCACATCTTATATTTTTACTCATCATATCAGGGGTAAAATTAGAAAGTCAACCAAAATCACACTTTTCTTATTTTGGTTCAAAGTCAAAATGGGAATGATTTAAAGGAACGGAAGGAGTAGTTTTTTAATATGTAATATTTATTTTTTAATTCCACACGATTTTCATATAAAATGATTTAAATATACTTCAACCAAATATCATAACGCGCAATGGAAAGATAATTTTTTGATGGAGAGAGTAATTTTTTTTGTTATGAAATTGAAAAATAAAATGAAGATAATAAAAATATTTTGATAAAAAATATAAGGGCCCACAAATTAGAAAAGAGGGAAAAACTAGAGTGACGATTATAATGTAGTGAGGAAAATAACAGAAAAAATAAAGTGGCTTCAAAAAAAGAAATTTGGAGGGAAAAGGGGAAATGACTAGTGATGTGGTATAATTCTACCCCTCTCTCCCACAGTGATGTGGTGTAATTCTTGTAAATTCAAACTCCCCCTCCCAATCTCTCACACCATCTCCATCTTCAATCTCTTCTTCTTCTCAATTTTTAAAATTCAAAATTACCCCCTCTCTTTTCAACATGAATCCTTCCGGCTCCGGCTTCTTTCCTAACAGTCTCCCGCCGAGTGACGCCGCGATGTGGTTGTACCAACAGTGGGGCGATTGACCGCCGATCTACGAGACGCAACAATCGGGGTACGTCGACCGCGATTCGGTTCTGGAGACTCAATAGGGGTACGAGCAAAGAATGAGAGAGATCAAAGAGAAATATAATTTACCTTAGTTTTTTTATTAATGTATCTTTTTTTTAAAATTATTTTCGTTTTTTATTTATTTAATGTATTTTTTATTATTCGTGTTACAATTTAATTAAATAATAAATTAATTACATTTTATTAATTTAATTTTAGAAGATGTATATTTAAAAATGTAAAAAATGAAGGTTTGAAGCCCCGGGGCTTCAAACCCATTTCCAGTGAATTTTGGGTGGAAATTAAAGCTGACGTGTCAGAGAGAAAAGGTTTGAAGCGCTAGGGCTTCAAACCCATTACCAGTGCTCTCAGTAAAGTCAATCATTTTTAAAATTATTTTAATCATAAATTGATATAAAAATAAAAAATATAAATTATATCATTCAAAAATACATAAAATGTTGTTGAAACAGTATAAAAAATTCTACAAAATAAGTGGTGATAGAATATTTTATTTTATCAAATGATCCTTGAGAATTCATAAAAAAACAAAAGTTCTTGAAATGTCTTAATATTGACAGTGACATCATTTTAGAATGGAGGAGCATTGTGTTAAGTACTTAGCCACGGCTCCATCCTTACCCTTACTCTATATTCGAGACTCTGTTACCGAATTATGGGTTTCAAGTTTTCATGTTCATGTTTCAAAGGTATGCTAGGAAAACTCCACTTTAGTGCACATTTGGTGTATCCCAAATAAGGCTCCTCCAGCATTTTCTTGTTTCAAATTGTTGATCCAAAATCTATAAATTTTTAAAATATACGGAGTAATGCTTTCTATGATGACTAGTTTTCAATCTTACTCATGCATAATCAAATTTTTTCGCTATTTCAATTATGCATTTTTTGAAATAAATCAAATAACATGTAATTAAAATTATTACGTTAAAAGAAAAAATTGTCTTTTTGGCGTAGATATTTGAATTATATACTTTTAAGAATGTTTTTTCATATTACATCTATGAAAATTTTTGTTATTAAGATGAGTATGAAAATTTATGCTGTAATTGGTACACAATTTTTGTTCTTCATTGTTACGACTTACGAGTCACTTATGAATAGGTAATTTAGTTAGTGAAATTTACACTGGATGGGACTAAAACACAAGTCATTTTCCAATGTAGGACTTAAACTTTTTTATTTCTTAAATAGGACTTTATAATGACTAGTGAGAAGAAAAATGTCCTAGTGATGCTGGACATTTAGTTGAATAATGACTAATAGATAATGACCAATTGTTCTACATTGGGAAATAAATACATATGGTCCTATATTGAAAAAGTCATTATGTTTTAGTCCTATTTAGATAAATTACCCATTTAGTTGTCAGATCAAAATATTAAAGTGTACTAGTTAGTAGAGTACAAATATCATTATCCAATGCTTTAAGGGCATTGGAAATACCCATTAAGTCCCAGGGCTTCAAACCGGGGCTTCAAAACTTTTCTCTCTGTCACATCAGCTTTAACTTACCTCACAGTTTCAGTGGAAGTGGGTTTGAAGCCTCGGAGCATCAATCCTTCGTTTTTTACGTTTTAAATACACATCTTCTAAAATTAAATTAATAAAAACTAAGTATTTAATTATTTAAAAGATTTGAAATGATAATAGTTCATTAAAAAATATATTCATTATAAAAAATTACATTCATTAAATAAAAAAATTAAATTCATTAAATAAAAAAAATTACATTCATTATAAAAAAATACATTAATTAAATAAAAACATTACATTCATTAAATAAAAAAATTTCATTCATTATATTCCTCTTTTCATTAAAAATCATTCTCTAATGGGAGAGGTAAATAAGAAGGCATTATACCTTCTTCAATTTTGAAGAGATATCTTTACCTTCTTCATTTGAGGATGTATATCAATTTTTCCCACCTTCTAAATTTATTTCATCAAATTACTTCAGTTATTGTATTTTTTCTTGAATATATTATTATAAATTTTTAATTTGTATCTTTGTAATTGTAAAACATATCGAGTCAAGAATTAACAAAAAAAGATACTTTGTTTTTTAATGTTGCACTCTGTATTTCTAAGTCTTTTTTATTCGGGTATTTATAATTTTACATCTGCAATTAGACATAATGTATATTTAATTATTTTAAAACTGACATTCTAATTTTTTCCCCAATAAATTAGTTGTGTTTTTATAAAATCTTTAAATTTAAAAATTTAATCAAGAAGAAATAAAGGCAACAAACCTCAAATTTACCTCCCCATGATTTTTTTAAGAATGTATATTTTTTTTCTAATAATTAAAATTTGATTTAAGAAGTTAATCAACTAATTTTTTCCAATAATGTATGGAGATGGATTTTTTTCCATCTTTTGCCTTTTGATTACCTTCTCTAATTGGAGTTAGACACTTTTTGAAAAGGTAAACTTGATCATTTAGAGAGGTAAATGATATATATACCTATCCAAGATAGCTCTTACCATTGGAGTTGTTATAAGAGCAACTCCAACGGAAGAGGTATATGAGAGAGTAAAGAGTAATAATTGTGATATACTACCTCCGTCCTATTGTCTTTGTCCACATTTGACTTTTGGAACTGTTCATCTAAACACTTTGAGTCATCAAATTCTCTTAATGTGTAAGCTTAAAAATAGTTATGTGTGATTTTGTTTGATTCGTCTTAACATATAGATTATTAATATATAATTTGTATAATTTTTTAATATACAAATTACAAGATAAAATGGATTAAACAAGTGCATTGCATAGTGTGCCAAAAGGTAAGTGGACAAACACAGTGGGTCGGAAGGAGTATATCTATTTTTATTAAAAATTATTCTCGAATGAGAGGTAAATAAGGCATTATACCTTCTTCAATTTTGAAAAGGTATCTTTACCTTCTTCATTTCGGAAAGTATATATCAACTTTTCTCACCTTTTAAATTCATGTCAATTACTTTAGTTATTGTATTTTTTTTTCTTGAATGTATTATTATAAATTTTTAATTTATATCCTTGTAATTGTAAAACTTAACGAGTCAAAAATTAACAAAAAAAGCATACCCTGTTTTTTGATTTTATACGCTGTATTTTTAAGTTTTTTCTACTCGGGTATTTATAATTCTACATGTGCAATTGGATATAATGTATATTTAATTATTTGACAATTGACATTCTAACTTTTTTTTCCAATAAATTAGTTGGATTTTTATAAAATCTTTAGAAACAAAAACAACAAAACTCAAATTTACCTTCCCATGACTTTCTTAAGAAAGTATACTTTCTTTTCTAATAATTAAAATTTGATTTAAGAAAGCAAATCAACTAAATTTTTTCCCATTAATGCATGCATATACATTTTTTTTCTCTTTTGCCTTTTGATTTGCCATCCCCATTGGAGTTGCACACTTTTTGGGAAGGTAAATTTAATCACTTAGAGAGATAAATGAGATATATATATATATCTCCACCATTGGAAGAAGCTCTAACATTATTGTACTCCCTCTGTCCTAAAACTTTCTTCTCATAGCCTATATGTTAAAATAAAATATCCTTGTCACCACTTGTTTTGTTGAACTTTTGATGTAGTTTTTAAATATGTATTTTTTATTTTTTATTTCTATACTAATATTTAAATAAAATAGATTGAGAAAACTTAAGATATTTCTTCGTTTTGCACAATGAGAAGAAAGTTTCAAGACGGATGGAGTAACTTTTTTTTGGAAGAAGCTCACTGTTTGTCTGTTCGCAAATCTGTGCGAGATATTGGGTAATTTAATTGAGGGTGGCAATAAACTTTATTGGGACCCATGGAATGTACCGTGTCACGTGTTTTGGAATGACTAAAAAGTGAAAAAGATTAGTTCATTCATCTCAAATTAAATTGTCTTTATATACTACTGTATTAAGATTAAATTATAAATCTTTTTTGTTATTTTCATTGAATATTTGATAAGATAATATAATTATATCAGTATTATTATTATATATTTTTTGATATAGTTTTTAAATATGTTATATATTTATTTTTTATTGTACACCAGTTTTCATTTAAAATTAATTAAAAATAACTCGAAACAAAAATCATTACCAAAACTTGCGATTTAAATTGAGACGAAACGGAGTAGAACCGAAAGATCTAAACCCGGTACTATTGAGATCTCAATTCTCAGGTAATCTCACTAGAAAAAATTAGCATCAAGGGTTGTGTTTGATGTCATTTTGGTCTCGAACAAATAGTGTGAAAAGGATTAAATTAAGAATAAAATATAGAAAAGGACCGGTTCAGCTTGACTTTATCGATCCTTTTGCTGAGTATTTCATAAGTTTGTTTGGCTGACTTTTTCATTTTAGGCCATGTATGGAAACAATATTGATTAGCGTTTTGGATAAAATTTTGATGGTATAAATGAATTTTAAAAATGAGAATGCTAAAGACTACCGTTAAATAGCTTTTTTCAAAATGCTAACGTTAACTTCTACATACCGCTGATCCCAAATAGAGCCTTCGTCGTTTTATAAAAATATCCTCAATTAATCTATTTTCCATTTTAGTAACGAACATATATCTCACAAAATTTATCTTTTATATAAATAAATTTTAACGATAAATACATTTGTAAATTTGTAACATTCAAAAATATAAAATTGAAACCAATTTGTGCGAGTATGACAGTGTATTCCTTTGAGATATAATCCTCTCATATTCGAATTAGTTACAGAAGAAAGCAAAATGTTTAATTTGCTCAAATAGACCATTCTGGTCCGTGCGATACACTGTTCAGTCTTTGTATTTATAATTGATGTACCTTGTACGGACTATTGAGTACTCCCTCTGTCTCCCTGTATTTCTCCACTTTTATTTTTGCACACCATCCAATGCACTTCTTTAATTCATTTTATCTTGTAAATTGTATATTAAAAAATTATAAAAATTATATATTAATAATCTATATGTTAAGACAAATCAAACAAGATCACACATAACTATATTTAGGCTTACACATTGAGAGAATTTGATGGGTCAAAGTGCTTAGATAAACAGTTCCAAAAGTCAAATGTGGACAAATACAATGGGACGGAGGGAGTATTCCCTTTAATTATCTTTTCTTGTTTTACCAAGTTTGACAGAAATTATTTTAAATTTAATTTATTTAATCATAAATGTAAAATTAGAAAATAAAATCATATATTTAAAACAACATTAAAGTTCTAACTAAAATAAGTAAAGAAAAAATGATTAAAGATTGATTATCTGAATAATGTCGGGTAAGAAAGTTTTAAGACACAGGGACTAGAAGCTAGTATCAAATATTTTTATAATTTTTAAATAATTTCATTTCCCAATATTACATTCAAATTTTAACTTTTATGGACAAATTTTACTGCCCCATCTGAAAATTATCTTTTCGCTCACTATGCACAGGGTCAAATTTTATTCACTTTGTTGACTTATTTTTTGTTTCTCATTTGATAAAATAATATAATCATGTCACCTCTAGTTTTATAGATCTTTTAATGTAGTTTTTAAGTATATAAATTTTATTTTTTAATTTCATACCATTTTCATACGGAGTATAAAATGATTTTAGAATAATTTCAGTGAAACATCATATCACGTAACGGGTAGAAAAGTTTTGGACTGAGGGAGTATGTTTTTTCGTCAAATGAATTTGTCTAATTTTATTTTTTAGAGTCAAACAAGACAAACATTGATCAGTAATTAAAAAGAAAGGTGAAATTATATAGAGAATAGTACAACAATAACAATCTAATTCGATCATAAAATAAAATATTTTTTTTAAAAAATGTATTCCTTTTTTTTTAACACTAAAAATGTAAATGTATTACTAGTTAAACACTTAAACGTAATAAGATCAAAGGAAGAAATATGTAATGTATTATTTTTATTTAATCTATGATCAAAGAATATCTCTCTAAAAAGAGTAAAATAGACAAAGTAATTGGAACGGAAATAGTGATATTTGATCTTTTTCTTACTTACTCTGTCAAATTTAGCTACTACATATACTACTTCATTCAATCCTTATTTTGATTAAAAATTGCGGAAAACAAAGAAAAATATTGAGTTTTTTCAATTGATTTTATTTAAAGATTGGTAAATAAGTAAAACTAAAACTTACATATATATCTAAAAATCACATAAAATTTTTTACAAAATAAGACGTGACAAGAATATATTTTATTTTATCAAATAATTAATAAAAATACACAAATAAACAAAAGTTATCCTGATTTTGGAATAATAAACATTACAATCAACTGTGGGACAGGAGTATAAAATTAAAATTACGGAGCAAGGAGTCAGCCTAGTTTTAAAATTTGAGCAATGCTAGGGGCACACCAAAAGTGTACCCCAAATATACACCACTCCCATCTCCACCACACATTTTTGTTTGATTTTTATTTACTTATTTTTTTTAATTTTCTTGCATTTTTTGTGGACAAGGAGGGGTGGGGGACATATGGGGTACACATTTGGTGTACCCCTAGCATTTTTCTTAAATTTTTAATATACTACGTACTACTCTTTCCGGGTATTTACCCAGTTTTGACGCTTTTCAGCCAAAAGTGACAAATTCGATTACTAATTAAATAAAACTGATATAATTATTGATAAAAAAGGTTGTATTACATGCATTTTATAGAATATTAAAAATTTTGTTTCATGTATTTAATACGGAGTATTTTGTATTTAACTCAAGTCAAAATTTAAAAATGTTTGACAATACTCATATAAAATAAAAAGTGGACATGGTAATGTAAATAGATTCGAAACCTTTTGATAGCGAATGATAGAAAAAAAATATTTAATTATATTCCGTAAAATAGTATAATAATGACATTTCTAGTTTTGAAGGAAATTTTGATGTACTTCATTTATTTTAACTTTTTAATTATACATCATTTTTCATAATAATAAAATAATTTGAAAATAACTACATCAATCAAATATCATAGCACGCATCAAGAAGAATTTTTATACAAATGGAGTATAGATAAATTTAAAAGATATAAAATAGAGGAATTTACTAAAACAGCACTAAAACATAAATGACTTTCCCAAATAGCATCCTATGTGTTTTTTCGAATGTAGCACTTTTAGTCATTATCCATTAGTCATTATTCAAGTAAATATTCGCCATTACTAGACGTTATTCCTCTTTTTGGACATTATTAAGTACTATTTAGAGAATAAAACAGTTTAAGTATTATTTGGGGAAATGACTTAAGTTACTATTTAGTGCAAATATTTATATAAGATGTAGCACGTCATTCCAACAAGGTAATAACGTTTTCAATTAGCGTTAATATTTTGAATAAAATTTTAATGATATAAATTAATTTTGAAAACGTTAACACCAAAAATATAATAGTTTATTCGAAAGGCCTGCACTAAGGTTAGCGCTCAAGTCAAACTGGGTCTTAAGCGGTACATGCATAGGCTTTAATTTGCCTATGCATGTCATGGCTTGAGGTGGTGTATGGGGGATGCATGCACTTACTGGGGTCATGTTGAGCTGCAACGATTTCCAAAAGCAGTGACTTCCCAAGCAAGTCAGTTAAATCGTCACACCCTCCCGACAAGCTCAAGTGTTTGAGAATTCCTCCCGATGGTTTCTGGACCGTCACAACGGCCTTAACACTTGTCGCCACTTTCTCAGAAACCGCAGTAGTTGAAGCCACCGCTTTGATGACGCGGCACCCAGCTCTTCCTCCGCACCCTAGGCTGCCGCCGGCCGTTTTTCTCAACCGGCTTTTGCCCGAGGTTGGCCTTAGGACGACAGCCGGAAAAGAAGCAACGGCCAACGTTGTCTCGCCGGAGACGACGAAGGCTCCCACATTATTGTACCGCGGGAGGGTAGATGTGGCCTGCACCGGCATCAACATTATTGCTTATTTTTTCTTTTCAAATTTCAGCAAAGTGTTGTGATTAGGTGTGCCTAGTTTGTAGCTGATTGGTGCATTTCCAAATTCCACTACAGGGATGAGTGTGTTTATATATAGCTTCAATTCAAGATGTTGGTACTTGTTTGGCTATTCTTTCACCTGTTTACTTTTTTCTTCCATGTGTCATTATTATTCGTACCATTTTTCTTCCCATTAAATGTTTTACCCTTTTACGCAGTATTTAGTAGTTAGATGTCTCAAAAATACTCTATGGCCTTGTTAATTCTAAAAATGCGGACATTAAAAATTATGGTCAGATAATTTTTTTCAAAACATTAACGCTAATGGCTAAGGCTGATGCTAAATAGGGCTTATGCCAATTTTATTTTTTATTTGCATAATAAGAGTTGTACTTCCGTAATCTTAATATTCATATTACTAGTAATGTGAACTTTTTCACATTTTTCATTAGTTTGCAATGAATCTTTATTCTTTTATAAAAAGCAAATCTTTACATTTTTTTAAAAAAAACTAATGTCCATAAAAAATATTAATCCAAGAAACACATAAGAATTTGTCTTATAATAAATACTCCCTCCGTGCACAAATAAATTTTATGTTCACTATTCACAGGGTCAAACTTTATTCACTTTATTGACCTATTTTTGTTACTCATTTCATAAAATAATATAGTCATGTCACCTCTAGTTTTGTAGATATTTTGATATAGTTTTTTAATATGTAATTTTTATTTTTCAATTCTACATCATTTTTCATATAAAATGATTTAAAAATATCTTCAGTCAAACATCGTAATGCGCAATGTAAAGTTTATTTGTGGACAGAGAGAGTACGTGACTATCAACAATTGGCTTACTTTTTAAAAAGTATTAACCAATTAAATACTTCTACCATTCAATAACTTCGTAATTAAAAGTGTCAGTAGAAATTTGAATTAAGCTACTTGTATCTTAAAAAATGTACCACAAATAGTACATCAGAATTTGCACCTTCATTTTTTTATGTACGGAGTATATTTTAAAATACACTCATTCATATACTCTTAGTATGGTTGTAGAAATATTATGGGATTAGAGAGTATTTGAATGAAGGCACGTACGCAGTAGTCGCTACCTACCAATCTACCATCATGAATAAAATAAGGGGAGGGCGATTCCACCTTTTGGATCAATGAATAAAATAAGGTACAATTATTGAAGAAGAAATATCTCACTTTTTGAAATTGGGATTTACGAGAAGAAATATCTCACTTTTTGAAAATTATTTTATTTGTAAATTAGTACATCAATAAAAAATAAAAATTATATATTTAAAAACTACGTTAAAAATTCTACAAAACAAAAGGTAAAAAAAATATTTTATTTTTTCAAATATTTAATGAAATCGCGTAAACAAATAAAAGTTATCGAAAGCAGAGAGAAAAAAATGTAATTTAATTGGAGAGGGAAGGAGTATCTTTTAAAAAAAGTAAATTTTCAAAAAGGTCATTTTTAAAAAGGTACTCACTCCGTCCTATAATGTTTTTTCTGGTTCTGTTTACGAAGTTTGACCGACTTTATTTTTAATTCAATTTATTTGATTGTAGGTGTAAAATAAAAAAAAATAAAATTTATATATTTAAAAACTACATCAAAAGTTCTACAAAACAAGTAGTGACAAGACTATATTATTTTATCAAATACCTAATGAAAAAATAGGTAAAGAAAGTGATTAAAGTTTGACTGTGTGAATAGTTAGTGGGATAAACATTTCAGGACGGAGGGAGTATCTTTCTAAATTAGTTTTAAATAAGCAATAATTATGAATGTGTTCTTTTGTAATTGTGATGTATTCGCTAAATATTCCCCTGTCAAAAATAATATTTGTTATATGTGAGTCAAATAGAAGGTATTCTAGTATTTTATATCATCTAGACCTAAAGTATGTTCGCAAAATGCTCCTTTATAACTAAGGTTGTGTTTGGTTTGATGTAAGTAAAAAATTTTAATAAGTAGGTAATGATAGGTAATTGAAGGTAGGTATAGTAATAGAAAGTAGGTAAAGTAAGATAATAAATTAAAATATTGTATTTGGATATTTATTAGGTAATATAAGGTAGGTAAAGCAATAAAATTACCTTAATACCCTTGTTTGAATATTTATTAGAGAAAATCAAGTATATCATCATGCCACAAATCACAACCTAAAAATTTAGCACATTTCACTTTAATGTGTAAAACTCATATTAATAGCACCAATAACTTCAATAAATTGTGAAAAAAATAGAATAAAAAATTTTGGATAAAAACAGCAAAAAAAACACATCATATTTCAATAAATAGCAAACAACAACAAAAAAGAAGAAAAAAGCAAAAATGATATTTCAATAAATAGCAAAAAACAGCAGTAACTCAGAAAAAAATAGGAAAAAAACATGAAAAAAAAGGCAAAAAAAACAGTAAAGAAAACATCAAAAAGGGGGAAAAAACAGCAAAAAGAAAAAACGAAAAAGGAAACAGAAAAAAACCTGAAAAGAGACGGAACAAAAAAACAGAACAAAATAGGTAAAAAACGGTAGAAAAAGGAAAAAACGAAAAAAAAACAAAAAAGAAAACAAATCGGAAACAAAAGGAAGAGGTGCGGCTGGAGATAAAGAAGTGATTTTATACGGAAAGCATCACATGAATACGATGTAGTTGAAGTATTCATCGGGGTGTCGAAAAATGTTGAGGAGGAAACGGATGGTAATCCGTTCTTCCAGCATCAAATGGAGCAGCCCTCTTCATCCCATTTCGCTCAACATGTTGATAGCGATCCAGATGATGCTGAGTATATTGGACCCTCAACGGAAGATGAAGAATTTTCCAAAGAGGAAGAGGACATATCTGCAGATGAAGGAGAAGATGGCCAGGACATTCGTGCAATGCCAAAGTTACATGACCGGCAAAGTCACGTACCAAATATGTCGTTGAGGCCAACGTTCCACATCCTAAATATTGAGGTCGGCAACAGGTATCCTTCTTTCCAAAGTCTACAACAAGTTGTGTCATTATGGAACATTGCGGAGCATAGACACTTTCACACAGAAGCGAAACGGAGCCGATATTGGAAAGCACGTTGTGTATATGCCCCGCAATGCACTTGGTTCATACAAGCAGCAGAGAATGCTGGGTGTAGCATATGGACCATAAAGCAATATCAGGGGTATCACCCGTGTAGGCCGGATTACACGCGAGCTAAAGACGACAAATTGTTAACTAGTGAACTCATTAGTGACCTGATTGGTCCTAAAATTGAAGAAGATGCTGATTATAAAGTCAAACTCATAATGAGGGATGTTTATGAGTTGTTCCAAGTATCTGTCTCCTATAAGAAGGCATGGTGTGCAACGTCATTGGCCATTCAGCGATTGTACGGTAGTTGGGTGGAATCATACAACAAGCTTGCTCCTTTGCTCGGTGCAATAATGGGATCAAACCAGGGGACAGTTGTGGATTTGCAAACTCTACCTACAAATGCACCGACTACATTTCAGTTCAGGTATTTTTTTGGTCTTTCAAGGCATCCATTGATGGCTTCCACTACTGTCTTCCAGTTGTTTCATTGGACGGAACTCACTTATACGGAAAGTATAAGGGAACTTTATTAATTGCCGTGGCAATGACGGGAAATGGTGAGATTTTTCCCTTGGCTTTCTCCATTGTGGATGTTGAAGATGGCGAAAGTTGGAAGTGGTTCATGACAAATATCATGCGACATGTCGTACCTCCACACCGCCATATATGCATAATATCTGATAGGCACAGTGGTATATATCACGCATTCAATAATGTTCCAGAACTGTTGGGAGGTTAAGTCACTCGAAGATTTTGTCTCCGCCATGTGCGAAGCAATTTCCATAACAAGTTTCGGAGTAAGAAACTTAAAAACATGATGTATAAAGCTGGCAAGACCACTAGCAGAAGTGAGTTTGAGCAGACGCTTCTCGAGATAGCGTCCAAAAATCAAGAAGCCTACAACTGGCTTATGGCTATTCCAAAACACATGTGGGCATTGTCGCATGATGAAGGTGGCGGACGCTATGGTATAACGACAACAAATTCGTCTGAAAGCTTCAATCATGTCCTTAAGGGATGTCGTTGTTTACCCGTCTTTGCCATTGTGAGGTTCACGTATGACAAATTGGTCAAGCTATTTGCTGATAGGCGAACCAATGGATATTTGTGGCAACAATCTGGGTATAATTTTCCAATAAATGTGTGGAAAAAGATCAAGCACAATGAAGAAAATAGGCTTTATTGTCGTGTTGTGCAGCAGCATGCACAACATGGGATATACTCTGTGGTTGTGGATGGATCCTTCAACAATGGTCACCGCGAGACATTTGCGGTGAATTTAAATGCACGGACATGTACTTGTGGATATTGGGTAATATATCACATTCCGTGCATTCACGTTCACGCAGTATGTCATCAGTGTAGTGTCACTGTGGATCATTTGATTCCTAATTTTTTTTCACTCCAGTCCTACATCAACGTTTATTCACGCATCCTAATGCCGCTTCTCGATGAGGACGACTGGCCTACTCCAGGATACGAGATTGTGAGACCAACTGCACGAGCGAAAACACAAACCGGTCGACCAACAAGAACTCGCTACCCAAATAACATGGACTATCGACCACGACGACGTCGCAATGAACAATAGCTATATCATGGATTTCAAATGTTCAAGTTTATGTTTTCTGATTTTAAAAAAATAAATTAGTTATGTCATGTGTTTTGTATCCTAAATTTTATGCATAAATTTTATGTACTCTATCAATAAATTTGTTTTAATTTACTTCTTATTTGTAATTCAGTGTATGATGCATTATTAGTCAATAAATATTTATTTACTTTATGAATTTGTTGTTAGTAGATTGTTTGTTTCATTATATGTCAATAATTTTTTAAGTTTTTCAAATATATGAAATAAAACTAATAATACATTTTTAAAAAAATTAAAAAAATACAAGGAACGGAGTTGGATACTCCGTTTAAACATTTAATTAATTGGAACGGAGTTAGTTACTCCGTTTTTCTATTTAAATCATTGGAACGGAGTTGGCTACTCCGTTTCTCTATTTAAATCATTGGAACGAAGTTGGCTACTCCGTTTCTGGTGGATACTGTAGATGAAACAGAGTCAGCTAATCCGCTTTGCTTTATTTGGGAAAGTATATAAGTTGGGTAAATTTCACAAATGGTACCTGAACTTTAGTTGGAATTTCGAAGTAGTACCTGAACTTCAAATCCTTTCACAAAAATCCCTGAACTTACACAATCCTTTCACTAATGAGCCATTAGCCCGTTTCTAGGTTAACTTCCGGTCATTAGGGCCAAATTTGAATTTTATATATTTTAAAATTTTCAATTTGACCCCATTTCTTCTTTTCTTTTCTTCCACGCCCCGCCGCCGCCGCCCGCCGGTCAAAGTCGCCGGAAAATGAACTTTTTCCGATTCCGGCGGGACCAATGTCATTCTCTTCGTCTTGAGACGAGGATCAATAATATCCAAACCATTTTGTCTAATCTGGCCTGTAACTTCTCGAATCTGAATTTTTCTACTCGAAAAAACCCTAAAATTTCGAAATTGGATCCAAAATTGGGGGTTTTGCAAATCTTCATCCAATCTTGCAATTGAGGGGTCCTTGGAGGTCGCCCGGATGCCACGACCGCATTAGAGTTGGTTCCCGCCGTCAATTTCGCCGGAAAACGCTCCGACCCGCCGGAAACCGCCGGCGGGTCGGAGCGTTTTCCGGCCAACTACTAAAGTTGCATATAATGAAATGCAATTCAACAATCCTACACATGCAGGGAAACACCTTCATTTTTTTATGTACGGAGTATATTTTAAAATACACTCATTCATATACTCTTAGTATGGTCGTTGTAGAAATATTATGGGATTAGAGAGTATTTGAATGAAGAAAAATGCTAGGCGTACATCAAAGATGTACCCCAAATATCCCCCACCCCCTCCTTGTCTACTAAAAAAGGCAAAAAAATTTAAAAAAAATAAATAAATGAAAATCAAATAAAAATGTGTGGAGTAAAATAAGGTGGTGTACATTTGGGGTACACCTTTTGGTGTACCTCTAACATTACTCTAGAATGAAGGCACGTACGCACTAGTCGCTACCTACCAATCTATCATCATCAATTCATGAATAAGATAAGGTACAACTATTGGAGACCCTTTGTCACGCTCACCCGACAATTACTTAAACATGCCATCATATTTTCTTTTCATTTTTCTTTATATACTCCCTCCCCTGATTACAAATTGGGATTTACGAGAAGAGAAATATCTCACTTTTTGAAAATTATTTTATTTGTAAATCAGTATATCAATTAAAAATAAAAATTATATATTTAAAAACTACGTTAAAATTTCTACAAAATAAGAGGTAAAAAATATATTTTATTTTTTCAAATATTTAATGAAATCGCGTAAACAAATAAAAGTTATCGAGAGCAGAGAGAAAAAGAATGTAATTAAATTGGAAATGGAAGGAGTATCTTTTAAAAAAAGTAAATTTTCAAAAAGGTCATTTTTAAAAAGGTATTCCCTCCGTCCTATAATGTTTTTTCTGGTTCTGTTTACGAAGTTTGACCGACTTTATTTTTAATTTAATTTATTTGATTGTAGGTGTAAAATAAAAAAAAAAAAAATTTATATATTTAAAAACTACATCAAAAGTTCTACAAAACAAGTAGTGACAAGACTATATTATTTTATCAAATACCTAATGAAAAAATAGGTAAAGAAAGTGATTAAAGTTTGACTGTGTGAATAGTTAGTGGGATAAACATTTCAGGACGGAGGGAGTATCTTTCTAAATTAGTTTTAAATAAGCAATAATTATGAATGTGTTCTTTTGTAATTGTGATGTATTCGCTAAATATTCCCCTGTCAAAAATAATATTTGTTATATGTGAGTCAAATAGAAGGTATTCTAGTATTTTATATCATCTAGACCTAAAGTATGTTCGCAAAATGCTCCTTTATAACTAAGGTTGTGTTTGGTTTGATGTAAGTAAAAAATTTTAATAAGTAGGTAATGATAGGTAATTGAAGGTAGGTATAGTAATAGAAAGTAGGTAAAGTAAGATAATAAATTAAAATATTGTATTTGGATATTTATTAGGTAATATAAGGTAGGTAAAGCAATAAAATTACCTTAATACCCTTGTTTGAATATTTATTAGAGAAAATCAAGTATATCATCATGCCACAAATCACAACCTAAAAATTTAGCACATTTCACTTTAATGTGTAAAACTCATATTAATAGCACCAATAACTTCAATA